TAAGGGGGAGAGTCGCAAAATGGTATTTGGAGCTGCCTGTCAGAGCATCTGGTCCCTTCCTTACTTGCTTGATATGGTCCAAGCCAGGGTCTTGAGCTTGTGTGTCCTGCCCAGGAGATGACTGATCTCCCTCCTAGTTTTGTCTGGGACAGTGTTTACTTACTAACTGATCCTTTCTGCTGTTTGCTGTCTTCATCTCTGCACTTGATGTCTGTGCAGCTGGTATTTTGTGCGTGGCCTGAATGCAAGTAGCAGGACATAGCCACTGATGGAGTCTGTAGGTTCTGAAGAAACCTGAAGGTCTGAGTCCTTTACAGGCAAGGATGCTCTTTCTTCCTCAGTCAGAGTTTGTCTTCAAGCAAATTTTCCCTGATGGCTTTTGGAGGAAAGGCAGTGTTTGCTTTCACAAGAAGGTTCTCTGATACCTCCTGAATAGAGGTCAGTGCTGTCTATTTTCTTGGACCTGGGAAGCAAACTGGGGACCGATATGACCTTGATGTGATGAAGGCAGTGAGCAGCCCAGCATGATGTGAACTGTTGCACTGGCAGTGTTTGCTGCTATCCCGTGCTCACACTCCAAATAGAAATGAAAAGGTTTTGTGGCCACTGAATGTTGCATCCTGCTGTCTCCAAAACACTTCAGAGACGAAGTTCAACGAACGAAGTATGAAGCAAGCTCCACTCAGACTGGAACTCGGTGAGACTACTGAAATTATTGCGTGAGCTCTTCAAACTCAGACCTTCTGGACAGCTTTCAGAAAAACACTGTTGTGTCTGTTTGATTTGAGGTCAAGACATGATATAGACACTGCTGAACGAATTTCTGTGGCCTTTGTATCCATCCAGGAAGGCCAGATCGAGTTAAGCCCTTTCCGAATTTAAACTCTATCAAGCTGTTTAGCTCTGACTTGTGCAGTCTCGGTCAAGACTTTTGTCTCTCTCAGATTCCTGTCCATAAAATGAGGCATAAACAGCAGCTCATCTCTCCTCCCGTGTGCCAATTTAGCCAAATTCCCAATTTCCAGCAGGAACTGCCCTTCGCAGGGTACTGGGTGATGCTGGGCGGGGAGTCTCAGCTTTCTGGGGCTCTCTTTGGTAAACGAGAAATGTCTTACCCCAATTAATCCAAAACCAGAGAAAACGAAGGGATGATGTCCTTTGCAGGCCAAATTTAAGACCGTTGATGTTACAGCCACGCAGTTCCACATTTCTTGGTTGCCTTGCTGAGAGGGGGATGCTGGCGAGGGGCAGGCGCTGCCGGAATTTCCACGGGCATGGCTGCAAAAAGCACAGTGGGATCTTCAGTGGCCACAGGCGCCTCCAGGCTGTGGTTTTACGCTGGATCCGAGCAGAAGTGTGTGTGGCAGCGTGCGGCCCCTCGGCTGCCCGCTCCTGCCTGCCTTCCCAATGACTCAACGCCGCTGCTCGGCCCTTCTGCAGCACCCAGGACTTTTCCCGAATTTTTCCCAGCCCAAGCTCTGCCCAGTGGGCTGAAATCAGAGCTCATCCTGTTGTACAACACCCCGCTTTACTTCTGCAGGCTTTTCTTTTTTTTTTTTCTTGCCCTGTGGATGGAAGCAGCCTCATGGCAGTACCGTAAGCTGCGTCTTAGTAATGACCCGTGAGCCAAGCCAACAATAACAGCGCTGTCTAGACCATCCGAACACAGCTAAATTATTCCTTTGTCCCTCCTTGATTTGCTTTCTCTCCTGATTCTTGGATTGTTTCGGGTGGTCTGTGCTGACCTTCAGCCTCGCTATTTCTCCCATGCCTTATTTTATTATTTTTTTTAAATTTTTTTCCCTTTTTTTTCGTTCAGCACTGAGCTGCTGCACTAAGACTGAAACTCCAGGTTCCTCTCTGCCGTGCAGCAGCGCCGGAAACGTGTCTCTGAAGGGCAGAGAGATGTGTCACGCTGTGGCTTTCTGCTTTTGCTTCGTACTTGATTTTTCCAAGCGCTCGCTGCCCCAGATTCGCATCGGTAGCGCCTGGGAGTTGTGAGTCTGAAGGCCTGACTGAATAGAGAGCGTGACGAGAGGAGGAGGTGCTGCAGGTTTGATACAAGATCTCACCAAAGTGGGTCGGGGTGATTTTATTTAAGTTTCAGACCCTCTCATGTCACTGCAGCTCTGCTGGTCATTGCTCGGCTGACTTCACTACATAACACCAAAATTTAGGGAATTATCTTTGAGACCTCCTGACCTCCGTTACATTTGGTTGGAAGTGGTCCTCAGGCGGGCTGGCAGCGTGATCGAACGAGCTTCGTCACAGGAAGCTGATTAAAAAGGGCAAAACTGAGGGGTTGGTGGGAAGGAGAGAATAAAGAAACGAAACTTGTAAGGAGGGAAACGGCTGGAAGGAAGGAGAGAGCCGGGGGTGGAAGACGAGACACGGGGGATGAAGGGCTGGTGTCAAACACCATTTCCCCAAAATTTTCCCCCAAGGAGAGCCGTCCCTCCCGCTCCTCACACAAACCAAACCGGGGGAAGCGAGCAGCCTGCGCCGCCCCTTTTGCTTCGGAGCCTCGGGAGTGGCATTTGGATTTAATTAGGCAGCGAGCTTCAATTTGCACTGAGCTGGCGGAGCTGGCTCCTCGTTTCCATGGAACAAAGTTCTCCACCCTTCCAGGGAGTCAGCTCGGAGACCCCAAAAGCTGTAATGAGGATGGGCAAGAGGCTTGGGTCTGGAAAGCATCAGGCCCGGTGCAGAGCTGTCACCCAGAGGGCTGCGAAGCCTCAGTTTTGCAACCGATGATGCAAAACAAATCATGCTCCTGCTCCGAGGTTACCTTGGAGCGTGGCGTGGGGTTTTTTTGGGCTTTATTTATTTAATTTTTTTGAACACTTGAGGCTTCAAGGGTTCAAAGCTTCTTGAGGTTCCTTCAAGTGTTCAAAGCTGCTCTGAAATTGCAGCTTTTGGGCTAAAGGCACGTGTTGTTTCAAGGAATAACATATTTCTGCTGGTGCTTGAGTAGGGTGCTCTGGTACATAGATGTTTCATGCTTCGGTGGCAGAAAACAGGCTTGCTTGCTAGTACAGCAAGAAACCATCTTGTCTTTGTTTTGTACCACTATTCCATGATGGCACGGATGTGTTTTCTGGTTTATGACACATCACGTGTAGGTTTTTATTATAAAAGAGAAAAAAATGCTCACGTGCTCTTCAGAATCCTCTCCAGCATCAGGTTTTTAGTCGATGGTAATAGAAAGGGGCTGAGTTGGCAGCCTCAGTATTAGAAATCTCTCCTCTTTTGTCCTTTTTTCTTCTAGGCTGAGAAGGTTGGTGGCTGGGCGTTTCTGGAAAGGGGTTAGCTTTAAGCAGTTGGTTTTGGAAATGAGGGGGTGCTTCAAGGAAAGGAAACTTCCTAAGGAAAGGAGGCTTTCGGTCGTGCAGGTGAGGCTGCAGCACCAGGAATTTGGCAGTGATAGGATCCACTTCAGCTCAAGGATCTCTTTTTCAGTGGCTTTATTGATGCCATGAACTCGTCCTCCACATCCTAGCTAAGATGTAGATACGGGGAGGACAGCGCTGAGCAGCGTGGCTGTGCTCACAGAAGCCCAGCTCTCTGCCACTGCCTGCTGAAACCCCATTTCCCCGTGACATCGGGGACTGTGCTTTGTGTCATCGCACTCAGGAAACTTTTGTTGTCATTCAGGTTGGAAAAAAAAAAAAAGGGGTGAGGGGCATTTTAGAGATTACAGCTAGCTTTGGTGGAAAATTCCTGGAGGGTGGTGTGTGGGTTTTTTGTTTTTGTGTGTGGCTTTTTTTTCATTTGTCCCTCCCCCATTCCCTTCCCCCTCCACAAAATAAGTTTTTTTTCTTCTGTTTTTGTGTTTTGTTTTTTTTTTCCTACTACAAAATCTGTCTGGAAAACCAGGCTTGTCCCCAGGGCTCCCTTTTTTCAACAACAACAGAAAGTAGGAAAATTCTGGTTCTTTTGTTTCTCCTTTTTTTTTTTTCTCTTTCCTGAACAGGAACAAACCTCCTCATAAACCTCCTCATTTTCTTGAGTGCTTTATTGTGGCATCCCAGGTTATGTTCCCTGCCACCCCTCCCGAAAAACACATCCACACTCACTGAGCAGGGAAATGTGGAAGAGGCGAGGAACTGTACCATTAAGTACTTCATATAGACATGTTAAATATGTAATAAATAAAATAATAAATGTAATATTAAATATATTTATATAGAGACACATCGACTACAATAAAAAGTTTTTTGAGCTTTAAAAGAAACACCAGATTTTCAACTTTTCCCCCTTACTTTAATGAGGTGGCTCTGGGTACCCAGCACGCATGAGAAGCCTTTTTCTTAATCCCTTTTTGTCACAGCTTCAGTCCCGATGTGACCCGGCCACGCATGACACAGGAGGAACAGAAAAAGAGGAGGTGGTGTCTGAGCATGAAGATCCACGGCGTACACATCCCCAGGGAAAAAACCTCCGTGTTTGGGTCCAGCCCCATGCGTTTTCATGGCAATTTTTGTCATCTTCATCTTTCTTGCAGACTTGGAGTTAGGTGTACACTCAGCTTGGCGTGGGGGTGGCTCAGGTCCTGGAGACGCTTGGTTTTCCACAAAAATCAGGAGCTATATTCGTATTTATCCAGTGACAGCTGTGTGAATGTAATATTTGCCCTTCCTGACTGGATCACGAGCGTGGCAGCACGCACAGCGTGCCTCTTGTAACAGGTTTCTTGTCCTCTCCCCTGGTTTCTCACTGGCTCTAGGTTTGAAACTCTGAAGGGCCCCGTGGGCAGCAGATGTGGCTCTTCTGGGGGACCTCTGTCTCCTGTGATGAAGAAACTTTCATTCCCTACACACGATGGGTTGGGTGGGCTGTGCTGTGTAGTCTTAGAGTGCCTCACTTCACAGCAAGGCTGCACATCATGGCTTGGGACACGTTTGGGTTGAAAGATGGCATATGCAATACTATATTTTTACTCCCTGTTTTCAGAGGTGAGGCTACCTTCCGTGCTTCAGTTGTCTTTTCTTCTTTTGCAGATGAAGAAGAAGCTCTGAATTCTATTATGAAGGATTTGGCAGCGTTGGGCAAATGTGGGGGGCTGCTGGACAACAACAGGAATAAAAACAGCGTCCACTCCAGCAAACAGGTAAGGCATTGCTTGAGTCCACCCTAAGTAGAGGTGGACATGGTGCTCACCAGGCCAGGAGCATGGAATTTAAATGTTAGAGATGAAGTTAACAAGTGCTGTTGGAGCTCAGCACGTCAGAAATAAAATAATTACCCCAGCGTAAGCTTTAGGATCTCTTCTTGAAGAGTAACAAAGAAGCTACAGGCAGCCCCATATCACAGAGGGACAGTGGAGGACCAGAGGATGAAAATGGTGCTCCAAATCAGTCCTAAATATTGAAACAGAGCCTGAAACTGGTTTTAAATCTAAATTCCCACCCCCAAGGCTCTTCTTTTAGCACTGAATTTAGCAGAATTTCTTACAAGCACTGCAGCTTTAAGAGTTAGATCAGTCAAATGTTTTCTGTTGACGGTGTTGATGAAATTCAATATTTATCACACGCACATTTTACTTCAGATATTTTATAGATGGACTGCCAACTTTGAGCTGTAGACACCCAGGCTCTTTGGGGAGGAATAATGTCATTCTTATATAAAGTGTTTAAATATTAATTACTGGTGTTTATCTTTGCGCGCCTCAAACAAAACGTTTTGGCCGTGTCGCGTGCTCAGTGTTGATGGAGTGAGCAAAAAGCTCGTCCCTTGAGCAACGTTAGGAGTTATTTGCTCACATTGGTATAATATGTAATAGCTGAAGGGGATTTAATAGACGATTTGCATATGGAACAAATAGCATACAAAACTGAAGTTGTGAAGAAAATTCAGTCGTCAGAATACCAAGGCAAGAAAAAAAAAGGGGGGGGGGAATAATTAGGGGTGCTGGGATGCAGCTGGAGAAGTATGCAAGCAAATCCTCTTGGAATCCCTCTTCTAATGCTATGGCTTAGAGGAAGCTTGTAATCAGCGTCACAACTGCTGAATGCCTTGCAAGGAAGAAACCGAATTGTCATTTACAGTTGTCGTGCCTATTTTAATGGCATCTGTGCTGCGAACAAAAAACTCCCGAGTGTAGAGGAAGAAAATCCTTTTCCCAAATCCCCCCAGACTTCCTAGACACATGCAGACGAAAGCACACGCACACGTCGCATGTCTGTTTTCAAGCGTGTCCTGGCGGTAGCAGCTGTCCAAGTTGAATCACTGGAGCTGCGTTCAGCTCAGGCTGAAATAAATCCAAGATGTTTACAGGACTGACCGGAGACGTTCGGAGCTGGCTCTGCAGCTGCAGGCAGAGCAGACGATCCAGCGCAGCTTTGGATGGCTCTGAGGGCAGCATTTTCTGCGAGGCGATGGGTGGGGACCATACCAAGCCATCTCAGGATGCTTGCAGGACAGCAAAACTTTTCAGGCTTCTCTTACATGCCGTGTTTGTTTTCTCACAATGGGAGAAAATTCCTGCTGTCGTTTTTGAAAACGATAGCTAGAAACGCTGCAGATGCATGGTTAACCAGATATTTAGTCAAAAATGAGGAAAATAACAGTTTTCACTGTCTGAATTGTTAACTACAGAGGTTTCATAAAGTTGAATGCTTGCAAACAAGTTTGTATCCACAGCCCATCCACTCCATATCCTTATACCTCGCTGACAGGGTCATGTTGTGCTCTGCTATCAGCTTGGGAATTGCTGGCTGCCCCGTGCATTTAGTCTTATCCTGTTAGGAATCTAACTGTTCTTCCCAAATACAGCACGGATGCTTGGAAGAGCATTCCCTCCTGTATCATTTTCCTTTTTATCCATAAGTGGATCGCCCGTAGCTGCCTGCTCAGAATTACTCAGAGCTCTCCGCCAGAGGAGGCGCAAGTAGTCAGCGTCCCGCACCCCTCGTGCATCCGGGGCTGAGGATTCAGACCAGCAGGCCCCCCGAGATGAAGGGCGTTGGAGTTATGTCGAGCTGTTGCTTCACTCAGTTGGCCTAGCTGGAACAAGTCTGGCTCGCAAAACGATGGGAGTCTGGGCTGCGAGGTGGGGAGTGGCCACAGGAGGTGGAATTAGCGGGGACTGGGTTCGTGTTTGCAGCTCACAAACTCTTAATTGACTTGTTTGGGTCTTTTTTTTTTCTTTTAGGATCTGATGGCAGGAGCTGGGAGGAAATTGTTTTAGAAATATCATGCCTGTGATTTGTTGTTCCTTTGGTACTTGGCGTTCCCACTTTTTTTTACGATGATGTTGGCTGATTTGGGCTGAGCGATGCAACGCACATTCTCCTTTCTTGGACCAGGGCTAAGGCACGGGGCATTTAGATGCTCGATGCTCCTCTTGGGATTCTCATTGTGGGTGTCTGTTACGAGGCCCTGTAGCCACATGCTCACACATTGGTCTGGACGTTCAGTTCTCAGATTAAAAAACAAAAGTTATTTTTTTCTGTGGAAGAATGCTCTCTGAGGCATGGGAATCCTTCAGTCATTGTTCCAAATTTCTGCTGAAAAACATTTTAGAGGAAAATGTGTCGACTAACTGTCTTGTCCCTCTGTGACTTGCAGCATTTTTTCTTTTGGCCCACAAAGAAATGCAACCAAAATGCTACCTCATCACTGTCTCTTGGAGGGGTTCCTTGGTGCTCTCTTGACAGAAGATGAAATCTGGAGCCTGCCAGATCATGTTGCTGATAGGACTGGGCCACACAAGAAAATAGTCTGTGGTGGTGTGTGCTGCACAATATTTCTTCCTCAAGATAATGAATGACAGTTTTTCCTTTAGATTGTTTTACGGAGTTAACTTCTCCCGAGACAAATTGCTTAAAAATCTTTCTTTTTTTTAGTTTGCTTTCCTTACAAATGAGTTTTTGGGACCACAGAGATCATCCTGACGTTATTCCTAGTGCATCCTCTGCTCTGTTATTCCTCAGTTACTCCTTTTATCCGTCCTTTATTCCTCTAGTACGGCTGGAAGGAGTCCTTTCAGGCAATCTTCTGGACTGAACAAACAGTTTCTAGCAGTTGGCTTGGTTCTTCCGTGATGCGAGAGAAGGGCAGGAGGAAACGGCAGCACAAAGCTGTGCATTGTGATCCCGAACGAAAAAGATGAGTGGGATAAGAAGGGAAGCCACAAAGAATTAGCCAACCCCAAACAGAATCGTGGAGAAGAAAGCAGCGATTATATTAACGTCTTTTTGCATCTGTTTATATGCACATCCATTTAATTATATAAATAGCACTTGGCAGTGAGCAGTGCGAGGCTGGTTGTCAGTGCTGGGCTTCAGTCTGACGCCGAGGCGTTGGCGTGGGCCTCTGCCCTGGCCGATGACAGCCAGCAGCTCCTCTGCCCCGTTCATTTTGATTGCCAGTTCTCCCACGGCAATAAAGGCCGATATTTGTCGGGAACATTTCCCCGTGCAGGACAAGTGTCAGACTGACCTAAAAGTTGTTCTTTTAGTAAATTACTTCTGGACTCTCTTTTGGCAAGTTGAACGCAGCATAAGGCTTGCTCATAACCGGGATAAAATATAGCTCATGTTGCAGGGCTCTCTGTAGGTCTTCAAGCAGCCTAAAAAGGAGTTTGGCTTTACCACGTCAGTTTTACTGTTGGGGAACATAATGGCGGTCCATAAATACCACCTTGAAGATGAGAGTTGCTATGAGGAGAGCTGTGGGGTCTTCCCACACCATGGGGGCAGAAGCAAGAGACCAAGAGGGGAGTAGCATCAGCTGGGAAAGTCGTGGCTGGATCTAGCAAAGGCAGTGGGAGTCCCAAGGATTTGGGGAGGAGGCTTCCCCTTGCCTGCTGTGGAGCTGACTTGGGTGCTACAGGGTAACACCCAGCAGAAATCCTGCTGGGAAAAAGCTATTCCCTGCCAGGTAGGTGGTTTCGGATGGGCATCTTGGAGTCTGTGATTTGTGCTGCTGCACAAAACCAAAATATCTGTAGCAAGGAGCAGCAAACCCTCTAGACATGATCTTTCCACTGGCCTCAGGGGCTCACATGCTGGTCTTTCTTATTCGGAGGAAGAAAGCTGTAAGGATTCAGGGGGACCTGGCTATCTCGTAGCTCCCACCCACCAGGAGGAGAAGGGGGCAATCCCAGACAAAACCCTTTCTGTCGGCTTTGCTGAAGAGCCCGAAGTGCGTGGGGGTTCTGTGTGGATAATTCCTAATGACGCCGATTAGTCATCTCCTATTGTGGTTTAGGGACACGGTCCAGCTGTCTGGCTTGTAACATACATCCCATTGCTAAAAGCAGGGGTGAGCACAGGACTAATCCAAACAACATGCGGCTTGGGGAGGTAGAGAAGTCCCCTTGGCCTGGCTCTGCCGTGCTTATTTCTCTTGGCTGAAGGCAGAAGTTGAGGAGAAAACCCACCTTTTTGTGGCTTTGTATGAAAGAGTAACTAAATCTCCAGTCCTTGAATGCCACAGTGCTCTGTGGGGTTTTCTCATTGTTTCCTAAGCCAACAAGTAGAAAATGAAAGAGTTGAAACCGTTTTACCCTCCAGCATGCAGAAATAGATCTCTTTCATTGCCCTTATTTTACCCAATTTTACCCAGAGGGGAAACTGAGGCAAGGTAGGTGTCATGGGTGGGGAAGAGCAAAACTGGAATGTCACTCTTGGTTCATTCCGGGTTCAGACCAGAATACCATTAGCTGAATTTGAGAGACAACGATGAGAGGAGTCTCAAATTTGAACTTAACCTTAGCTGAGGACTTTAAAGAATGGCAATTTTTGGTGCTTCAGCTCTGGGTGCCGTGCTAACACGCAGGCAGGGGTGTCTTGCAGGGTGTCTGCAGGCAGGACTGGTCATCCCTTCCCTATCTGTGGTGATGAAGTCAGGATGGCCCTGTGTGGGCGGGTGTTTCCTACCAGTTTGGGCCCATGCCCCCAGTCTGATTGCCCCTCTGGGCAGACAGAGGCTGAGGGTGCTCAGCACCTCCTGTTCCTCCAAAGCCGTTTCCATTTTCGGCCCTGCTACGTGTGCTGCTTCTCTCTGTGTGTGCTTTTATTACAAACAGCAGTCGGCTCTTCGGGGATCTCTCTAGCAGATCATGATTCACCTCGCTTGGAAGCACTTTTTCCATTTCTCCGACATCTTGCCTAATCCCAACCAGCTCGCTCTGGTTCCCCGGTACCTCAGAGGGCTTCAGGGGCCACCCCGTGTCCCCTGCCAAGCCCCTCTCAAGGGCTGTGCTGGACGAGTCCTTTCCCCCTTGCCACCATCGCGTTCCCCTTCACCCTGACCCCAAGCACGTAGCTGCTGCCCTGTCAGCGCTCGGAGGCTGCGGGCTTTTCCTCTTTGAGTGAAACAAGAAGTTTTAAGGAAGGAGCTAAAAATATACCTTCTGGAAAGCCTGGAAAGATGGTGATGTATTTGTGGCCGCCGCAGTGGCTTTGCTTTTCCTTTCTGAAGGCAGATGGCAAGAAAGAGTAAAACACCAGGAGCCATTTGTTAGTGAGGCTGGAGGAAATGCCAGCACGAGTATCTCGGGGAAGAAATTATTCCAGAAACGAAGGGAATGACTGTGGTATTTCCTGTCAGTGTTGTCGCTGGTTTTGTTTGTGTCGCAGCAGGGCCTCAAGGCACCATTTGAGACGCGGGCTCCCCGGTGCCACGTCGGATGTGAACGTGGAGTTTGCTGAAGTACGTGCAGCCCGGGAGACCCAAGGTCTACATTTTGGACCTGGCTGCTCTGTTTCATCTCCTCGTGTCCTAGCACCACAGTGTCCCCTGCTTGCTTTCGAAGTTGTCCATGAAACCATAGCAGGCATCTACTGCAGCTTGCCGTGAGGGCTGATTCCTCACAGCAGGGCCTTACCCCTCACCTCCGTGTTTAACACACGCCCTCCTTAGACATCTTGCCCCCTTCTCCTTTATCAATTAATGGCCTCCTGATTGTGGGGCAGAAAGAGTCCGTCATTAACCTCATTTGCCATCTGACAGCAGCGAGGCCTAGGCAGGGCGAGCAGCGCCCTGGGTTGTGCAAGGAGGAGTCGCTGCTGTCATAACTCCTCACAAAATGACAAAAGTGAGGGGTGAGCAGCAGCCTGCACAACCAGTGCCTCTTCCACCTCAACGCCCTCATGTCGTGTTGAGCTCCTGACAGAAAAGAGGCTGATTTTGCCTCCTCTTCATCACGTGTTTGAAGCCCTGGATGCAGGCTTGTGTGAGGTTTAGCTCCGGTGCTTGGCGTTGCCCCAGGCTCCCTGTGTGATCTCAAACGAGCTGCTCCAAACCAGATTTCCATGGGTGTAAAAAATCACAGCCCACTCCAGCCTTTAGGAAGTGCTTTGCATCCTCCCGGGACTTCCTAGCACTTTGGGCACTGCCCACTTTTTTTTTTTTTTGAAGGAAAAAAGTATCTGTTGCCGGTGGTGGTGATGAATTCAGCTTGAGCAGTGAGTCAAAAACGTGAGCAAGCCAAGGGAAAATAACTGTAACCAACTCCTCAGAACACATACATGTATATACATACATGTTTTTCCCCTCTTTTGAATACTTACATGTTTAAGATCTTGCTTTCTTTGAGGGAGGCAAGAGCTTAGTGGTTTTTACATCACCCCAAACCCTGATAATCTCATGAACAAATGAAGTGGCTTTTCGATCCTCTGATGCAGCCAGGGTGTTCGCTGCTTTGCTTAGAAAAAGAGTGGAGCAATGTGGGGCAGCTGGCCTGCTTCTGTTGGCTTCGGGCCACCGCACATCAGCCCTGTTGTTGATGTGGAAGAAAAGGATGCAGCAGGGTCGTGGCTCTTTTTTTTTCCTTTTCTTCTCTCTCTGGAGCTTTACACAAGTGTTTTGACGTTTCCCGGCCACAAGCTGTTTTTTAAAACTTGTTTGTCTGCGAGGTTGGTTTTGCTCAGCACAAACACGCCGCGGCTGCTCCATCCCAGCTCAGCGCAGCTTTCAGGTCTGCGCTGAAAGTGAAACCTGTGTTTTGAAAGGTTTCCTGCAGTGAGGCTGGAGCTGCGTGAGCTTTTCCCCTTACACGTCCTGCTCTTTTGTAAGGAGAAACCTCGAAAGTTCCTCGTCCTGATTTTTCTCTTGTTTTGGAAGAGGACTCTCCAGGGCTGCATGCTGCGAATCCACTCTGGCTGATTTGCTTCCAGCATCCAGGAGAGGCGAATTAATTAGCCAGGCCCTGTTCAGATAAAATATCTGAATATTTTATTCAGATGAATGAAATAAAAAATGGCACGAGAGCTCATTTCATGTTTTATTTTATTTTATTTTTCCTTTTCCAAGCTGATAATCAGACTTGGCAATTCCACATGTATTTGGCTGTCTCTCTAGAGTGATTCAGACCCTCAACATTGGTCTGTTATGGCCATTTTTTCTTTTCAATTTTGGACTGTTTTGTCCAAAAATACCTGGATTTGTATTTTAATGCTTTGGGCCTGGTTGTAGAAACAAACCACGAGTTTGAGCAAACATCGTGGGGCTGGAGAACCGGCTGCAGACACCGAGGTGATGTAAGTGCCTGTAACGCTGCTGAAAAGCCCCATTTTGTGATGGTTCTTCCTGTCCTGTCTGGAAATGCCAGAAGCAGAGCTAAAAGGGATGTGTTTCAGGTGATGCAGCGTGCTACCCTCTATCTGCCAGGGTTTTTAAGCTTTTTCACTGAGTCTCTTCTAGGCTCAACTGCCTGAACTCTCTGTTGGGTGTTCGCAGAGCTCAGGGAGCTGCCCGTTTAAAAATAAACCTAAGGACACCCGGCCAGCTCATTTTCCTCATCGGAGTCAAAGCTGTTTTGCTGCAGCTCTGCTTTCCCTCTGAGAGGATGGAAAGTGTGCCTTCATGTGCTGGAAATCCAGGGTTAGAGATAAGGCCCTCGCTCAGGAAGGGCTGTCATCCACCCAGGCAGGGATTATTCCCGGTGGCAAGGGACCGAGTCCTCCCTGGGGTTGTACTTTTGAAGGAGGTGGTGAGTTTTTTTTCTCCATAGGATGAAAGCCAGTGTTTGAGGAAGGTGGTGGGGATTAGTGGGAGCAGAGCCCTGGTTCACTGGGGTGACAGCGTGGTCTGGGAAGTAAAAGGGTTTTTCATCTGCCTTGGATGCCATTGGAAAGTCCTGGCACGAGCCGAGGGATGCTAGAGGGATGCTTGGCTCAGGCTCAGTCTGAGAAGCTGAATGAATGAAAAGGCTTCTTTTGGTCTTACGATAGCTGCTAAATATACACAAGTAGAGGAGGGAAGAAGTGGCTTTTACTGGTGTCTGTGTGGTTGTGTTCCCAGTCTGCCCATGAATCCACTGGAACTTATTTGGGCAAAGCTGAAGGTTTCTCCTGGGGTGAGCAAGAGTTCAGGGTGCGTATTTACTGTGTGTGGAGTAGTGATACCTGATATACTTTGCTTCTTGCCCTTTCGCCCTTGTCTGAGTGCAATTTATTAATATTATACACATGAGTCACAGAGTGATGGAGGTTGGAAGGGACCTCTGGAGATCGTTTAGTCCAAGCCCCCAGCTCGAACCGGGTCACCTGGAGCATGTTGCGCAGGATTGTGACCAGGGAGGTTTTGAATATCCCCAGAGAAGGTTTTGAATATCCCCAACCTCTCTGGCCAACCTGTCCCAGCACTCTGTCACCCTTGCTGTAAAGAAGTTTCTCTTCATGTTCAGGTGGAGCTTTCTGTGCTTCAATTTGTGCCCGTTGTCTCTTATCCTGTCACTGGGCACAACCGAAAAGAGTCTAGCCCCATCCTCTTGACATGAGTAAGTGTCCTCTTGTTTACAGAAGACTTTTTTTTTTTCTTTGGCAAGTACGCTTATTAGCAAAGCAGTGGAGTTTCCCCAAAGTCCAGCAGGAAACTTGGCCCTAAATAGATCAGACACCCAGCAGAGTTAGGGGAGTCTCCCTGAGAACTGCTCTGCGGTTTGGATCTGCCTGTCAGGCCGGGACACGCTTTGGGACCTAACTCTTTTCTGTTTTTAATTTCAGCAGCGAAATGTCAGGATCAAGTTTGAATATGAAGGAGAGAAAAGGTATGTACCCACCCCAGTCCCCTTCCGTGTACAGGGACAAATTACCCTTTTTACCCAACAATGTCCCACTGACTTCAGCCAGCTGCAGATGAGCTCACAGCAGGATTAATTCCCCTGAAATCAACTACGATTTTATATGCAAGAGCCTTGCCTCATCATCCTGTTCTCCATAGTACCTCCTGGGATTTGCATGCGCTCAAAGTGCTTCCAAACTGGAAGTCATTAAATGCCTCTTACCAGGGACGTAGGGTGCCCAGTTGGATCCTTTTCTCTTTTTAATTCTTGAGCCTTGCTGAACCACAGCTGAGCTGCAAGTCTACAGAAACGTGTCCTTTGATTAGCAGCCTGTGACACTTACTTAAGATAACCAGATTTTAGGCATGGGTCCCATAAAAATAGAGCTGGGAGTTAAAGCCTGCACGCCCTTCCCTACTTGACATTTTCATGGAATCACCTCTGCTCGATGCTCAGTGAATGTGGCAGGGCAGGCCACAGGGCTGGAAACTCACAGACTCACAAAATTGCATGGGAGAAACAAAGAAAATTCAAATAATGTCAGTGTGGGGCTAGCCTGTACCTGTTGACGTGTACCTCTCGAGTGCCTGCATGTGATGGTACAGGAGAGTCACAGGATGCCAAACTGAGCCATTCCCTCCCTGCTCAGAGCCACTCGCTGAAAATGGAGGTGATAAATCACTCCCTGACGTGTGACCTAGGGCTTCTCTCATGAATTGCTGCTGGATTTTCTTCTTTTCAACATGTAAACAGGAGGGGGGAGGAACAGAGAAGCTGCACTAGGATTTTTGGTAGATATTCTTTAAGGTAGGTCAAGTCTCCTCTTGGGTGTAGCAGCTAAGCAGCATTTTTATGAGTGTAAAAGCAAGGAGCAAGCTCTGTGTTCTGTGATAGAATACCAGTCCTTATTTCTGAATTGTCAGTCTAATTCTGAATCCCGATATGCTTTTACTAACTCGATACTACTGCTATGTTTGTTTGCAAATCCAGGATCATCCAGTTTCCAAGACCAGTCAAATTCAAAGAAGTGGTGCAGAAAGTCACGGATGCTTTCGGACAGACGATGGACTTGGTCTGTGTGAACAATGAGGTACTCTTCTCTTTATGGCTAAAGGATAGTTTTAGGGTACCTGCTGCTCACTTTGGAATTGAGTAACAGTTTGTTCTGAAGGCCATGATTTAATTTTGTACATTTACGTGAAGAAAAATATTCTTACTTTGTAAGAATTCTTACAAATTCTTAGTAAGAGTTAGTATTCTTACTAGTATTCTTACTAGTAGGCATACAAGAGCTGTTGTGCAGATGCCTTTTGGTTGTATTCTCTGACTCCAAGCCAGGCTTTCTCCTTCTTAAAATAATTTCAGTTAAGGCTTATTAATTGATGGCATAAGTAAATTGATCTTCCCCCAGAAAAAAAACATACCCAAATTCAGGGAGGTGATGGAGACATTGTCTGCACAGTCAGCAGCTGCCGGTGTTTCTCCATGAACACTACTTGGACCAGATAGGGCCAAATTTCAGAGCATTTCTTGCTGGTGTGGGCACACATGGGGCAGAGAACAGCCCAGCTGAGACCAAATGGCTTTCATGAGAGCCACACAAAGTGAAAGACTACTTCGTGCTTGGGTTGGATGTGAAGCCTCCTCATCTTGGGAGCAGTTTCAGGAGCATGCTGAAGTCCAGAGGATGAGGGACGGTGTGAGTAAACCAGCATACTTCATCCAGCACTGACTTTGTTTCCCTCTGAAGTGGCAGAACCCTGTGCATTTTCTTGTGAGCAGGTCTGCAGTGAAGTGTGCCTCACTGTAGGTTCCTCTAGCGGGTCCTGTGGCCACATTCAGATGGCCAAGAAATCCTCCCTCTGCTATCCTTGCATTTTAAGGCTTGAAAACCTTTCTACTCTGACCTTCCAATGAACACAGACCACTTTATTATTTTTAACCTGTTCCTTGAGCTCAGCACTGGGTCTGAAAGGAGCATATGCAGGCTGCTGCTGAGGGCCTTCACCTAGAAGGGGGCCATCCTTGGGTGTCAGCTCTGCTACGCTCAATGTTTTCTTGTGAGGCACCTCCCCTTCCCTTCCAGTTAAGATTGAACCCAACAGAAGTTGCTGTTCTTTATTAATAGATACCTCACGATACCAACGTGTCCTCTGGGCTTTAGCTTTGAATGCGGTCTGGTTTCTAATCTCGGGCATTCTCTGACAGCCCTCCCGGGAACAGCTCACCATTGAATTCTCCAGGAATGACTCATTTCATTCCAGGTTTCTTTCCACTGGAAGAGAGGACTTTTTTCCAACAACAGCAAACAGAAGCTTAAATAGTGCATTTTATCCTATTTTAGAGACTGTAATCCTGGGCATGTGCAGAGAACACAGCGGGACCCTAAGCAGGCCTTTGGGTAATCCTAACTTCATAGGGATGAGGAGGGCCTTCCGTGGTTTGTTGCTCTTTTTATATACATCAAAATTCCTCTTTATGAGGAACTATACATTTGGGAAGCAGTAGCAATTCAGGGTGCTTGTGGAAGAAACCCTATAAACAGACAAACACTGACCTTTGGGGAAATAAACCATATGTCTCCACGGTGACCCTCCAGGGTCTGTAGTGTGCTCTCAGCCTTGTTTAGTCTCACATCTTCAAGTCTCAGAGGTAGTTTGTCCACAGACTCATTCCAAGGACATCTTTCACCCTTTCTTCATACTCAAGGGGAGCTCTGCAGCAACTCTTCGTAGCTCCTGGATGTTTCTCTTGCCGTAGTGCCTTGTAGGCCGAAATTACACGGAGGGCTGCGGTCCCATACAAAATCTGACTAAATGGCAGTCCCTGTCCTAGAGAAACAAGAGCCTTGAAGCTAAGGTGGACGAGATGAGCATGCCAGCTGGGTGGAGCAGGGGCACGCATGATTCACATCCTGGTGGGCCCATGGAATCAGCGGGTTTGGGCTGGTACAGATAAGAGTGGGGCCTGGCTGTGGTGTCCCACACAGGGCATGTCTGCACGTTAGCAGCACAGCCAAATCGGGTCGTGGAATCAAACCACGAGACTTCTAGAAATCTGGCTGTGTTATGGCTTGGAAGAGTGTCTTCTACAACAAGTGCTCTCTGAATTTGCTCCGTGCTCGCTGCCCAGCAGCTGCTCCAGGTGTGGTGAGGCGTTCCCCTGTCCCACCTCTGTCACCAGCTTGTGAGGTGACCTTGTGCAGATCACTGAACCTCTGCGTGCCTCCAGTTCCCCTCTGAGACCTCCCTTTGAGCGTTGGTTTAGAGGCAACCATCGCTTCTTCTCAGCATCATTTCAGGAGGCTGAGGGGAGTTAAAGCCTAGGGAAACGGTAGAAGCTCCACTGGGGGGGGAGGGCTGTGTAAAAGCATATTTAACAAACCTTTGTCGAGAATTGTTGATGCCAGTCAGCCCTGTATGGGGCAGGAAGATGAACTAATTGACCTCTCAGCTTTTTCCCTAACCCCGTTTCCTACTATTCTTTGGCTTTCTGCAGTGTCTTACGCAGTGAGTCCGAGCAATAAAGCTGTGGCTGGTGAAAACTCACCCTGTGAAATCACTTTCTTAGGCTTATTTCTTGGACCTATATTTAATTCCATGCCTATATCTGTCCCTGATACCCATGTGTGCCCCAGTGTAGAAGCCAAAAGGAGCAAAATCTACTTGCCAGATGCGGGTGATCGGTAAAGCCAAGCCAAACACTGGCTCCAGGCCCTGGGAGGGCAATTTCTGCCTGATATTTTTGGCTCCTCAGGAGCAGGCATGCGAATGTGTTAAAGTTGTGAGCCTGGAGTGAGCTGCAGAACATTTTGTTCACAGCAGCAGCTGAGGGGTTGCAGCTCTGAACGCTTGTGAGGAGCTCGGTGGGGAGATGGGTGAGCAGCGTGTGGGACCCGTGAGCTGTGCTTTAACCTCCTGAAAGCCCCAAGTGGTTGGTATCTGCCTGGGGAGCACTTTCTCCTCACACACGACCCGTACTGGGAATCTATTTCCAGCTTGGCTTGTGAGGCCCAGCCCAGACAACACTGCTGGTGGTGTTCTCTGCCAAACCCCACTTGGTTAGGTTCATCTCCTTGAATTTTCCCCCAGCTGGTTTGGTTGAGGACTTGAGTCCCTTCCTTGACAGACTGCGGAGCGCTCTGTGGCAGGGCTTTCTCAGGTTCCTCCTAGAGGCTTTTTCTGACACAAAAACATTGAAATAGTTTTTGGACAGAGGCTGCACAACCTAATTCACACGGGTGAGTGTGCTGAAAGCTTTGATCTAGGGTCTCTTGTGGCTTTTTGTGGAAATTTATCAACCGTGTTTGTGTACCTTAAAGCAGAACACCCCTGGCTCAGCCTGGGGTAGGTGTAAGCTCAGGCCTCCCTCCTACCCACAGCTTTGATCTCTTGAGGGATGACGATGTTAAGCCCAGTGTTTAGCCTCTAAAAGAGGTAGCCTGTGTGTGACCCAGCTCCCTGTCTGCAAAACGGGGCTGAAAGCTGACCTCCCTTTCACCCAGGAGAGGAGAAACACCACCTAAACCTTGAGGTGCCCGCACAGCAGCCACGCAAACACCTGAAACGAAGCTTGGCAGGCTCAGGCTGTGGTCTGGGGGTGGAAGAGGTGACTGGAGGAGTTCCCTGAGACGAAACCTTGTCTGTGTTGGCCGGGGCCTTCCCTTGACCTGCACATCCCCAAAGCCCTGGCCTTAGTGCACGCGGTCGGAGGCGTATTTACCTTCAGGCCAGCAGCCAAAATGGTGGCAACACCTTGGGATGGATCAAAAAGGGAGACACAGGCAACGTTTGAGCATCTTTTTCTTGGGCAGTGGATCTGAGGCATGTTTGCTGTGGCTGGGACATGAACTCTGAGCACCCAGAGAGCCGCCTTTCACAAGGGCAGGGCTCCCAGTAAGGCCAGTGGGGCTTTACTGGGCGCTGTGGCCGCCCGGTCCCTTTGGTAAGCAGATCCCATGTGTGCTTTGGCACAGGCAGGAGCGTGATGTGCTCTGCTGGCTGCTCTTGGTGCCAGCACCCTGGGCAACCTACAGAGTCTGCAGCCTGCTTTGTAGGGCATTGAGGGCAAATAGTTGCATTTTGGGCACTGGGAGCTTTGCAGTCCCTCTGCGGGATGTGGTACAGCACACAGCGATGCCAGGGGGTCGAATTCCCTCAGGAGTTAGGAGGGGAAACTCTGTTTACCATCTAAAAAGCAGAGCTGAATCTGTCCTGCTGGGTGTCAAAGAAGCTGTTCTGGCAGGGAAAGCGGCGCACACCTCTCACAGCAAAGGGTTTGAGGCCAGTTTTTGAGGTGTTCCTGTCTCATCTGATGCCCAGACGCTGGGGAAGCTGTCAGTGCACAGAAACTCAAATTATTCCAGGGAGGAAACCCAAACTCCGCTTAAGCACGGGGCTGATTTGGCGCGGGATAGCAGCAGGTCCTGTCTACAAACTCCCAGATCAGAGCAGCCCCAGAACGGCAGGCAGCAAGGCTTCGTCTCAGCCCTCTCCTCTGACCGCTCGCTGAATTGGTGAGCTGACCTTTAAGCTGTCTCCTCGCAGATGGTTTGTGTTGTGATTCTTGCGTCCGTTCCACGGTAGATGAGAACTTGGAAGAAAACACTGCAGCTCGACGAGCTGGAGGGCATGGGGTCTCTGTTTTCCATCCGCCTCCTCGGGTTCCTCCCTCGTCCCCCCATTCCCAAGCTGCTCACGGCGAGGATCTGGCTTCCTTTGTTTACCCAGCGGTGTGACACTGCCGTGCTCCGGTGTTTGTTCAATCCCTTCCAGCTCCTGATCCCGCTGAAATCCCAGGAAGACTTGGACAAAGCGCTGGAGCAGTTGGAGCTGAGCCCTTCCCTGAAGAGCCTGCGGATCCTCGTCAGCGCTCCAAAGAAAGCCAATGTGAGCTCCTCACCTTCTCTCCTCTTTCGTGTCCGAAGTGAGGCGCCTCGTTATTGCCTTGGGGAGGGGGAAAAGTCTCCTGACGGAGGGAGAGCTGGGCCTCGGGGGGTCTGAAATCTTCCTGGAGACCAAGCTCAGCTCCCTCCCACTCCTCCTGCAACCTCTGAAGGGTTAAAGCTGTACTGATCCTCAAACTAAGAAGCCCCCAGGGAACCCTCTTGTTTCTTTTTTTGGCTTGGGGAGGCTGTCACCCTTCCTCTGCATCCCCTCCACATGCAGGAGGAGGTGCTGGCTGTCCCCGTGACCCAGCACAGGGACCCTTCCCTCCTTGTGGTGCTGAAATCCTAACAGCCAGGGGGGAACAACCCAGAGAATCCTTCAGTGTCACGCGGGACTGTCTTTTTTATTATTATTATTATTATTTGTTTTTATTTATTTATTTTCCCTGAGCTCAGTGGTTTTGCAGCTAAGCCTGTTAGCTTGACCTCGCCTGCACGGAGCGCCTTGCCAAAGCACATGTCGTTCTGCCCCAAGCACAGGCTGTAAAACAAGAGATTTGCAGATGTTGCAACTCTTGTTTCTCCCTTATATTTCCTAGAAGTACAAGAGAGGCTGAGAGCCTTGAAACTCCTAGTGCTTGTCCTTGCAGCACTTGGGTTTCCTCTGCTCCTTTTGAGAGCTGCCCAAAAGGTGCAGGGAGCAGAGTCCCAGGGGGAAACTGAGCCATCATTTGGGATTTCCTAAATCCACTTGCTCCTAGCTGCAGCAATATTGCAGCATTATGCCAGCTACTTAAGAGCGGGGCAGCCAGGCAGATGCACATATCCCTTTGGAGCTGGTGGAGCTTTTCCTGAAGCATGGCAACACGTACTGCAGGCGAGGGGATCATTCTGAGGTCATACACAAAATCCTCACAAAATCACAACGCCCTGTAGCACGGTACGTTGGTGAGATTGGCCACCAGCAAGTCCTGCCAGTGTAACTCAGGCTGCACTTAAGTTACCAGCTGGATTGGAAATTCTTTGCAGTCCTTCTCTGTATTCCGTAGCGAAGACTGACTGTCTGCTGTCTGCTCTGTACAGAGGAGCCTCTGCAGTGCTTGGTCTGCCACTGAGGGAGCACAGAGGAGAAGTTTTTGGGGTCACAAACGTGGGTTCAGGGCAAGACTCAATCTCCGTACCAATCCTGAAATCAGGCAGTGCAGGAACAGTCTGTATGTCATATGTCTGTATTTACTTTTGCTGACTGGGCCTCAATTTTATTGTTTGACAGCGTTTTAGTAACAGATGTAACTTGTGAGTGATTTGGGGGTCTTTTTTTTTAATGCTTCTTGGTTAGTATGGCCATAAGGAGTCAAACAGAGGTTTTCACGGGGTGCCTCTGCAAAGGGGCAGAGTCTGATCGTTCCCTTTGTCTGATCCCCAGCTCCTCCAGCCGAACAACAGCAAGCAGCACGAGATGAGGATCTCCAGATCCATGGGGGACATCATGGGATCCCTGTACAAGGACTCTGAGAGGACGCGGAAATACTCAACAGGTCAGTGAGATGTGGTGCTCTGTGGGCTGCTGGTGCTATTACAAGCAGGGCCACCGTCCCCTTTCCATTTTCCCTCACAATCCCTGTAAGTATTATGGTCTGCTGTCTACCCCGAGGTCTCCCACCAGTATTTCAGTGCAGTTACAGCTTATCCTCAGCCTGAGGAAGAAACTGCAAGGATGTGGCCAAGGTTGTGGTGAGCAGCAAGTCCAGTCAGGCGTGGAAACGAAGGAAGAGCAGATGATCTGAGGTGTAACGTGAGGGGGAAAACGTGAATTTGAGCTTAATTGAAACGAAGAGTGAGGATCTTACATGGTCTTTTCTTCTGTTTTATGTGCCTGAGTTGGTGTTTTTCTTGCTTTCTGAAATAACTCGGAGCGTTTTGAAATGCTAAGTGCTGCTGGCAGTCTGTCTGTAGGACCTTTTGGGCGAGAATCCTTGGGGGATTTTGTAGAGAGAGAAGTCTTGTGCAGCACCGGTAAAGCAGCCCGTCGGTCCATATAGCAGGGCTGTCAGTCTGCACATTACAGCAGGCAGGCTCAGTGATTTTGTCTAGCAGTGAATGTTCCCTGCTACATCCGTGGGTGATGCTTACACGGGCATTTCTACAGAGCCCCAGTGTGCTCATCCAGTTATTTCCCATCTGTAAAGTGGGGCTCTCAGATACGCGAAGATATCCTTCACCCTCCAAAGAGCATCTCTATCAATACAACCTGAAAGCTTCCAAACTCTGTGCAACAAAGAGTATTGCTCTCCGAGGATTCGCTCTTTCTGTCTCTCACAGTCTGCACTGCCTTGATAACAAATCCTTTGGTTTGCTGCGGCTCAGACAATGACATAGAAAGAAATTTCCTTCTAGGGTAGGTCCAGTTTAGCCTCTTGTGCAGCAATGCCCAATTCTGAAAGAAGCCAGCTGTGGGTGCTGCATGTACCAGAGCTCTCTGTGGTCCTGTTGCTGGGATGTGCCAGCGATATCTTTTTCTGTTGTATTTTTGTTTGTTTGTTTGTTGGTTTTCTAGCTTTCATAGCTCTTGAGAATGTGCCCAGAATCTGGCAGAGTTTATAGATGGTTCTGAATGAAATGCAGACACGAGGACATGGCAAAGCGCAGAGCCTCAGCAGAAACTGCTTGAGCAAGACATCTCTGAAGGGCTTTTTTTGGCACTAACTAAGCTGTTAACGTAACCCAGTGAAGAGCTGCGGCACCGTGAGCTGTCACTGATGTGTGAACTGAGTGTAATAGGCAGAATTGATCCTGTGTGCAGTGAGAAAATTGATCCTTGCATGCAAACTGCATCCCAAACAGGATCTTTGGTGCTTTTGCATCATTAGCTGCCCTTGCCACAGCCATCCCTCTTTTATTCCCGTGCAAACCACAACTCTTGCTCTTAGTTTGGACAGAGCCTGCAACAAACCTGCATGGCAGCAGCTCTCCAGGCCTCTTTGGAGCTCTTTGGGCTCCGTATGAAGCTACCACAGCCCACTTACAGGGGTTGTTGCAATCCACCAGCTTCGTTTTGATGATTTCTGGAGTCAGATCTGGGCTCTCCAGCAGCTGGACAGAAACTTCAGCGAGCTGAAAGGGCGAGCAGCATGGCAGATGGAACAGAGAGCTGAAGAGCAGGCCTTAGACAGACAGAAATATAATCCTGTGTTGTGTTTCCCTGGATTCGATTTGGTGGATAATCAAAAATCATCCTAAGAGATTGGGGTTTCTGTAGGAGAATCTGTTCTCCACCTGCAGGTGCAAGATATTTCACAGTATTTGCTTCTGCTGTCATCAAAGCAGCTGCTAGCACGTGAGGATCTCAGCTCAGTTCAGCTTTTCCCTTAAAACCACGTTTGAAAGGAGATTTAACGTGATGTTACAGCAAGAGGTGGCTCAGGGTCATGTTCTCGGTGCTTCTCAGCTGTCTCGTGTTTTTCTGCTGACTCCGCCGTGATAGCAGCAGCAAAAACTAATAAAACTGCATGTCGTTGGCACGAGCACGATGGAAGGGGGGGGGCAGATGTTCTGGGGAAGATTTGGCTATTTTTGCTTCTGCTGGACAGAAAATGTCTTCAACTCCATGTCCCCAAAAAACCTCATGCAAAGTCAATATTTTTCTTATTTTTTTCATAAGCATTTTCGGTGAAAATCCCTCCCCCCACTCCACCTTATTTATTTTTTTTTTTTGGAAGTGGAAAATGTTCCAGTCTCTGTAACCGGCATCTGAAAACGTTCAGCAAAGTGTCAGAAAAAGTTTGGCTTCAAACCTGTCGGGGTCCTAAATTTTCAGCTAACTGAGGGCTGTACTTATTTACTGAGAGAAAACCCCACAAGGGCACTTGGGGGGGACACAGGCTGGCCAGATGGCTCCGAGAAACATGGGCAACATGATGGCAACATCCGTGCCATTAAATTCACAGGGCACGAGCACAGGCTAAATGTTGATGAAGGTTTTTAATCATCACCATGTTTCCTGACCCGAAATCTGCCCAGGTACAAATGGGGACTAGAAAATGGAGTGTCCCACTTGCTTAGCCTACACATAGCCTTAAATTTAGATGTAGGAACCCGTCCTCAGGGGATCAGCACAGAGAGGAGGGCGACTTGCAGGGGTCCCACTGCAAAAGAAGCCCAAGGGGATGTGGTTGAGCTGCTCACACCTCCTCGTGGCAGCCACAGCTCATCAGTAACACGTTAATTGAAGGTTTCTCTCTGCTTATCGTGCTTGAGGACTCCTGCTTGATGCCGCTCTGCGACGGGTGAAGTTTTGGCCAGGGAAGGGGTGAAGCCAGGGAACAAGGAGGCAGAGGGAAGCCAAGCCTGGCACGGGGGAGCCGGCCGTACGTGCAGCACCGAGAGCTCCGCACACACAGCATGAAAGAGGCTGCTTAAATAAAAAAATAACAGAAGGGAACATGAAAAACCCCAGCAGATGCCAGCAGTGACTGTAAGTCTCCGTGCTGGCCTGGTTCGTCCCTGCCTGGGACATGCTGTGCTCTGCTCTCGAGTGCAGGACTTTTACATCAGCGCCTGCACCATGGAATCCCGTCCCAAAGCACCTTGCTGCAGAGGGGAATCGAGGTCAGCTGCTCGCCTGGTGCCAACCTGCACAATTTCTCCAAGTTCAGGAAGCCTGAAAAGAAGGGCTGAGATCTGGCCAGCCTCTGGCTCCCGAACAAGTCCCCCTGCCCCTTCCCCGCTGGGGGAACGTGATCCTGGAGGCTCTGGGACAAATCACCTGGCGGCTTTTTGGAGCAAGAGCCACCCTCGTTTCTTCCCGCAGCCTTCAGGGCTGACATCTGCCGAGCAAACGAGGGGACGGCAGCACGAGCCCCAAATGGTTAAACGTTTGTTTATCTTCCCAGAGAGGATGCTGTACTTCCCAACTGGTTTTGTTTTTAGGGCTGGGGGGAAGCCAGTTCATTATGTGCGCCGCAGCGCTCGAGAGATTCTCTCTCCTTGATCTTGGCCTTACTTCAGTTGGGCTTTATTTTTATTTTTTTTCCTTGCTGTGTTCTGCAGGAAATCTGTGAAGGAGAAAATAGGAAGAAGAACAAACATAACGCGAAGCCCTCTGAGTTTTATTTTTAAAATTCGAGCGAGGAGGCTGGAGGGAGCCGAGCCACGGGACGGGGATCTCGATGTGTCTGGTAGAAATCCAGCAAGGCTGATTCAGGGATCTTAACCACTGGGGTGCTGCTGTCCGTGCCAGCAGCTTCTGGGGCGTAGCAGCTGGAGTGAGAGGTGGGATTTGTAGCGTTGGTTGTGCTGATGGATTGGTGCCAGAGATCGGGCTGGCACAGTGACCGTGATGCAGAAGAGCAGAGGCAGAGGCAGAAGCGTTGTGCTGAGGGACTGGTGATGACTTCTCATCTGTTCCCCATTCCTTTCTCTTGCAATGTGGCAGCTCGTTGGGAGCGATGAACTAAAAGACTTCTCAAAACTGCTGCAGAGGTGGGTGAGAAGTGCAGGGAAGGACACAGGCTTTTTAAAAGGCTTTTTAAAAGGCTTTCTAAAAGGCTTTTTGAGCCTGCTTAAGAGCTTGTTGTGCTGCGTGAAGGCTCGCATTGCACAACGCTGCTGAGTTAAAGCTCCAGCGCGGAGCAGCGCAGACCTCGGTCAGCAGTTCCTTGCTGTGGAGCGATGACAGCCCAGGGATGGAGGGGAGGGACTGCAGAAAGCCAAGCCAGGCCTCTGCAGCTGGGCCAAGCGAGGACAACGCTCCCTAATCCTCGAACAGGCACCAGGAATTGGCTAGGGTGGGTTTGGGGGAATAAAAGGGAGGAACATGGCACGAACATAAGGAAGTTGTGGAGTTTTCTCCCCTTGCTCCTGTGCTGCAGCCTGCAGGGTGCACAGCAAAGCCCCAGGGATTTCCAGGTGGCTCTTACCCTGGAGCCTCCAGGCAGGAGGGTTGATCCCATCGGTTATTTACACCCTCTGTGGCTCTTGGGTTTGAGGGCCGGGTTTCTTTTCAAACAGAACAAGACAGCGACGGGATCCAGGGGAGGAAATGCCTGGAGCTCGAAGCCTGGGAGGGAGGATTTGTGCTTTGAGTTCTCCCGATCGGATTGCAACAAAACTCTTGGAGCCTTTTTCTTTCTGGCACGAGCAGAGTACCCGGACGCAGGATCTTAGGATCCAGGGGAGGTTGAGAGCCAAGGCCGCTGGATGTTGTGTGGTCCCACAAAACAAACTGTCCCGGTTGCAAAAGCTTTGTAGGGTCTTTGTGGCCAGCGTGGCTTCTCTCCTTCCTCCCTTCTCTTCCATGCAAGTTCAAACCCCAGCAGCATCTCCAGGAGGTCTGTGCCCGCTGGAAGGACTCGGCTGTGGCCAATCCTTCTCTCCTTCACCCGTGCTTTTCCCCTCTCCTAGGTTCTCTGCACACTGGCCGGAGCTCCCCACCCCCGGGCAGCGTTCCCGAAGAGCAGCAGCAGATCGCTCGCCAGGGATCCTACACCAGCATCAACAGCGAGGGCGAGTTCATCCCCGAAACCATGGATCAGAACGTAAGCGGGGCCTGTGATTGCAACAGCCTGGGGGTGTCAGCAGCTCTCGCTGCTTCCCCTGCGCTGTTTCTTCTTGAGCTCTGCTTGCAGTCCTTGGCCCTGCCCGCAGCCTCTCTGTTTTTTTATTGTTTTTTTTTCCCTTCTCTCTTCCTCTCCCATTTTTTTTCTTCCTTATTAAACATTTTGTATATTCCAGTCCCTCAGTAATAAAAAGAAAAGCGAATTTTAGGCATGATGATGGACAGAACCTCTTCATCCACTCAGTTTGGCCACGGTGAGGGGAACTCTGGAGTGCCCCGGGACCAGAGGAGGGGAACTTCCACCTCCCTCTCCACTTCCATCTCAGCTCAAGCTGTAGCTCCAAAGGGCTTGGTACCGGTGGTACCCTGTGCTTGGCTGAAGTCAGACGGGCAGCTTGGGTGCAAGACAACTTTGCCAAGGACTGGCAGCGTGCAGGAGGGATGTGGAGGGACTTTGGGAGGGAGCTAAGCAGTTCCTCGCTCCAGCAGGCTGCTGCAACACCCCCCAAGGGTCTTGCCTGCAGAGACACGCATTTCCCCTGCTCGAGCAGCACCCGCTAGCTCTGTTCTGGGGCACGGGCTGTGCCAGTGTTGCCGTGGCGAAGCTGTGTTTTTGGTGGTTCACCGTCCAGCCTTGAAGAAAACCAGAAACGAGCTGTGGGTGAGTCCTGGCAGCGTCCGCCCACAGATGCATCTTGTGCTGCTCGCGGCCAAAAGCCGGCCTGCTGTGGTTTCCACACCACGTGCAGGAGACAACGCGCGTGTGAGTGCAGGAGGAAGGGTCTGCACGGCCCTGGGGGGGTCAGGGGAGCTCTGCCAGCACCGCCTGAGCTCTGCTCCCGCTGCTGAAGGCTCCCAGATGCTCCTCGCTCCTCCCCAGCAGCACGCTGTGGGTGGGCTGCCACCCTTCTCCCCGAGGTGGATGCGTGCGCCGGCAGGAAAAAAGGGGTTTTGTGTTCTTCCCCACGTGGACTTCGCCCTCAGAAAGCCCTCGGACTGCAGCTTTTGCACGTGCCTGTTGTAAAAGCACTTACAGCTGTTTTGCTGGGGGTGCTTGCTGCCTTTTGGGGGATGCCCCCGCGCAGGCCCATGATGTAAGCAAGGTCTTAGAGGTCTTCTCCTTGCCTCCGGCTTAGCAGATGGGCAGAGGCTGATTCTTCACCCTGCTCCAACCTCCAATTCTGCCCCCGTTGCCAGGTTTTGGAGAAATATTGAGTCTGTTTCAGCACCTCAACGGGGAGAGGTGTGGAGTCTCACTCCTCTTTGGCAGCTGCGCTCCGAAACACGAGGCGTTGGGGTCAAAACTGGGAAGGAGAGGAAAAAAATCAGGCTTTCCCCTTGGGACCAGCCCGGAAAAATAATGTGAGCTGTTGTGGCAACCCGTGAAGTAGGCAGAGCACAGGCACAGCCCGGAGGAGGAGAGGTTTTGTGCAGGGGACGGAGGAGCAAATGGTCCAGGAGCCAGCAAAGGGGGGCTCCGTGCGGTGCTTAACCCCTATCCCTCGGCTTTCCCGGCCCTGTGTGGCTCTGCACATAGCCCCAGGTTCACCACAAACCCTCTATTGTTCCTCAGGGGCTATAAATAACCCCAGGCAGCACAATGGCTCATCCAGGAAGCAACACCAGTGTAGCTTTTGACTCAGTGAGCTCGCCAGAGCCAAGCTGGCCCCGCAGCCAAAAACCCCGGTGATGCTTCACAGAGCACCGGGGACGGAGGCAGGGCTGCTGTGCCCTGCAAGTCAGGAGTCCACGGCCACCTGGCTGTGCTGCACGAGATCCACTCGGCCTTGGGCACCCCATTTCTGTCCTGTTTTCTTTTTTTTTTCTCTCCTGTTTTCTTTTTTCTGTCCTGTTTTCTTTTTCTTACTTATTTTTCCCCCCCAAATGCTTCGAGCTCTTTGAATCTCGTTGCCTCCTCGGCGTGCTTCAGATGTCAGGGTGCCAATTATCTCTGCCCTGGGTTCCCTGCTAGCAAATAAAAGTGAAATAACAATTGGGAAGGATCCTAATCCAGAGGGCATCATAAAGGAACTTCCTCTAGGAAGAAAACTTTGCGTGGACTGGATATTGTCTCTGCTGGGGCCGGTATCAGCTGGGGTAAATCAGCTGGTTCCAGTGGAGTCAAGTAGATCTGTGTCCTGCAGCTTTCTGTTAGTGATGAGATTTGAGGAGTTATAATCTGTTTTTTGATTGTTTTTCCCTTTTCCTTCCTTGTCAGATGCTCGAAGCTTTCATCAGCCCCGATGGGTCGCTGTCTGGGAGCTGCCAGTCCCTGGACAGGTCCGTGGACAGGTGAGCTGCACGTGTCCCCGCTGTCACCACCAGAAACACAGCCTGCCCCCTACAGCAGGACAGAACTGGGGGCATTGGCATCCCCTGCAGTTCCTGCTGGGATGAGGATGCACCCAAGCAAAAAAAAAATCATTTAGACTGCTAAAAAACAGATCCTGGGCTCTTGCTCCTGCTGCAGATCCCCCTCTCACCCCTCTGCCTTCCTGCGCTCATGGGGCCAACGCGCCTCCTCCCTGGGCGTGCTGCCTGCTCTCCGCTGCCCCCCTGTAAATTTGGCAGCCCCAGCTGTATCAGTCAAGGTGCTGAGGCCACCAGACGAGCAAAAACTAACTTTAGCTCCACGGCAGGAAGCGACTGGGACACGCTGTACTGCCGCGGGCGGCACTTCAATAGCGCTGCAGCTCCGAGCTCCCACGTGCAGAGCGACCGTGCGCCCGCTGCTCCGCGTGGCAGGCTGTGTGTAAGACACGGTGTCCTTTTGGGAAGCGAGATATGCATTTTTTTATTCATCCTCATCAAAGGGATTTTATTTTTTATTTTTTTTCCACTGCTAGTTTTTATTTTTTTGCCACCCAGCCCCGAGGCTGCGCGGATGGCGTGGCGTGCTTTGGGTTCAGGTCTGTCTCAGCGGCGAGGTCCCTTTCCTTTTTGTGGCTTGCGGTGTTTTCCTGTGATATATTTGCTCATCGTTGTGGATGTGTCGAAACCGAGTTCTTTTGCTCCCAGGCTCCGTGCCCCAGGTTTGCTTTTCGTGTAGATTTTGCTGGGGGTAACAGCAGAAGGAGCACAGCTGAGCTGTGATGCCTGGCTGTGAATGGAGAAGAGCGTCAGGCACGTCTGCAGGAGAGCAGCATGGCTTTGGTTCACGACTCTGTACAGTCATTGGGTCTAGAGAGCTGGAAAAGGCACGAGGAGGGCAGAAAAAGGAACAAGCGTGACTGTTCCACACAGGTTGCTCTGTTAAGAGGCAGGATTTGCACCTGATGATCCTCATGGGTCCCTCCCAGCTCAGGAAGTGCTGCGGTTCTGTGATCCTGCACAAGATGCAGCCGAGTCCTCGCTGCCAGTTGCCTGAGGTGTTGTTAGCCTCCAGAGGGCAGAGCACAGTGACCAGGCTGATGCGACACAACACCACAATTAATCCCTCTTCCCCGCAGCAAACCTGCTGTGATCGGTGTTGACACAAATAGACTTCGGAGCACTTTGCAAAGCAAGTTTTTGCTACCACGTCCATTTTATTAAGAGGAGAGCAGACAGAGTGGAAAAAACATCCTGTCCAGATCACCTCACTGGCCCTTACAGAGTGCTGGGATGAAGTTACGATGGCTGAGATCCCCGCTCCGTGCTTTACCATCCTCTCTTTGCAATTTTAAGACCTTGAGCCTGCTCCCTCCCTCCTGGTGTACGTGCACAGTGGTGGTGCAGCTTTTCTTGCACGAGGAAGGTGGGAGGTGATGCTCCAAGAAGAGGAGACCTTCATGAGCTGAGCATGAAGGAATGACTCCAGTGTGTACATCCACACATCTGAGCAGTGCTCACAAAAAGCAGAGTTGCACAAAAGAGCACTTGGCATCGAGGGAAGACAAATCTCCAGCCCTCCTCCTGCCCCATTTTGTGCCTAGGTGTTACAGTGCAGACTTGGCTGCTTTCTTTCAGCCTGGTGACCCTGTTTTCTCCAGGATCCCTTCTGTTTTCACAGGAAAAAGCTGTGGACTACCCCCTCCCCCCAAAAAAAAAAGCCTTCAATCTTCAGTTTTGTGCAGATTTAGGATGAGAGCTCGGTTTGGTCGATTGGGGTGATGAGTGCATCTTGCTGATTAGTGCGTGCTTCCTGTGTGTTACTGCCCCTAACTCACTCCCCAGCCTTTCCAATATAATAAAACACATTTTTGTTCTTCTCTTTGCAGCCCTCCCTTTACCCAAACCCCTGTTCCTGGAAGGAAGAGCCATCCCAAAGACGGTCTTGACTGCATGGGTAAGCATCGCTGGAGGTTCATGCTTGCTTAAAAGCACGGGGAGCATGTAGATAGAGGAGAGCAGATATTGGAGAGATGTTACTGCATGGAAAGTAACAAAAATTAAGCAAACCATCTCCATTGCTTAGGCTACACTTCAAAAAGGACCCTAATGATTAAACAGGAATGTTCTCTAAAGCCAAACCGAATCCCAAGCTCTCTAGGGAGTTACACCTGGAGAAACAGGAGGCAGAATCTGTACCACTGCAAGCTGTGTTGGAGAAAACGTACTGGTAACTCGCGGGGACCAGAGGTTACTGCTTAACCGCTTACAAACAGCTGGTTAAGTCATGGAAACTCTGTAATGTCATGACTTTCACTATTAAAAATGAATAAATGGCAGTCAGCCTCAGCAGGATACCACGCTTCTGGCCAGGGGCAGCGTTTCCAGACTGAAGTACGGCAATGGAGCTGCAGGCAGCCCGTGGTTTAATACCTCCCTGGTGGTGCAGGAGGCGTTTTGCCTCGCCGTGCTGCTCGGTGTTGTTGCCCACACGTGGCTTGCCGAGAACCCATTGACCCATCCTTGCTGCTTTTCCTTGCGGGCTGTATTTCAGCCGTTATGGGCTCCTCTCACACCTCGCTGTGACGGGGAAATGATGCTCCATAACGCTGCGGCGAGGCTTCGGCCAGGATGGGTCTCCAAGGAGCGGCTGCTGGCCCCAGGCTAAGACAAACAAACAATCAGAATGGGCTGTGTCGGTGGGGCTGGCTGGAGGAAAAACAGGAGGAGAAAGTTGGGGGAGGGAAATGACAGATATTGTAATCTCACGTTAAGCAGTGCTACCAGCCATGGCTTCCTGTGCTCCTTTTTTTGATTAAAAAATACGTCCTTAGCTTTCACGTCCATCCATAAGCCCATGTCTAGTCAAAACTCTGCTGCTCAATCCCTTCTCTATATTCTAAATCGGTCTTTTTAGCATTTAATCAAGGTAAAGAGAAGGGTTTGGAGGGTATGAGGAGTTCTGCAGCTTTCACAGGTCAGGAGCCACATCTGAGAAGTGGGGATTGTCCCTCAATACCTGCAGATCCCTGCAAATAGCTGATAGCACAGCGGAGATCTTGCACGAGATAAATCTGGGCCTGCCCCTGCCCGACAGTTCTGTTTCCGCTCTAATTTTTGTGTTTTTCACGTGTAAACCAGACACGTAGCAGTCTGTGTTGGAAAGCAGACACGTTCTGTGTCAATCCCCTGCCTCGTTGTGAGCAGCGTGGGCCAGAGTCCGCAGTCAGTGGTTAACCTCTGTTTGCTTTAAGGAGACCAGGAGCAGGGCGTCTGGCCCTTGCTTTCCCTCTCAGATGTGACTGCGGGCAGATTTCAGCGAGCCTTGGGGAATGCCTGGCTGAGCAAAGGAACAATTTGTTACCTTGTTCGTCCCCGTAACTCGGCCCGAGGGCCTGAATGCTTTCCTGTAATAACTGCTCCGGGCCTTTGGTACTGAGCTGATGCAAGAAACGTGTCTGTTCTTTCCTCCTCCAGAATTTGACATCCCGTTCTGCGAAAGGTTTGGGAAAGGGGGCACCTTCCCCAGGCAGTACCACCTCTCCCAGAGTCGCAAGGACTACAGCGACGGTAAGAAAACCACGGAGGGCTGGGGAGGGAAGAGCTCAGTGCGGGATCTCTGTGGGGATGGGAAGGGCAGGAGGCTTGTAACAGCGCCCAGGGCTGCAGAGACTCAGGAGGGAGAGGTTTGTAATAAAAGGAAGAGGAATGAGGGGTTACAGCAGGTTTCTCACAGAGCTGGAGGGAACCACCTACCAAATTCAGGTAGCGGTGTCTCTCCACGGCCGTTTCAAGCTAACGAGCTCTGAGCGTTGGGGACCTCTCCCTCGCCTCGCTGCTGCTCCTCCTTGCAGTGTGTGAGTGGTGGGAGGCAAAACTGAATACAGATCAAATTCCCTTGGAAAAAAAACACAAAACCAACCAACCAAAACCATTAAGGACACACAAACAGCATATTGAGCCTTCAGAATGACCTTCATCTCTCACCAGCACCATGGCGCTGCTGGTGTGGTCATTTGTGTTGGGGTCTTAGGGGACGCCAGGGATAATTGGAAGTGTAAATCCTGTCCTGAGTTTATTTGTGATTAAAACCTGACAAAAACCTGATGTAATTAAACTGTTGCAAACCTCTCTGGGGACATCCTACACTCGATGCGATCCTACCTGCTGTAAACGGCTCTTAAATTGAATTCAGAACGGGCACAGGGCTTTGCTTCGGTTTCTTCAGTTTTTAGTTTGAGGAGCTGCCTCGCTGAATCTGAGCAGTGACGTGAGAAGGTGGTGGTAGGTGGATCCCAGCAGGCATCTGTGTTCTTGCCATAACTCTTCCCCTTCTCTCTTGCAGGCAGGAGGACTTTCCCCAGAAGTTATTTCCCCCAAGAAAACCTCTTCCAGCTGGTCCCCTCCAGCCGAACCAAGAGCTTTAACGGGGACAGCAAGCTCAGCACCCTGCAGTACGATGAGTACAGGCCCAAATGGTGGAACAATTGTGAAAAAGGGCTGCAGGTCTTCAGTACCTCCCCTACAAAAGCTAGGAACTGTAAGTGAATCAAAGCTTCAGGGTCTCGGCACGTTTGGGTTTCAACACAACATCAAGTTAATCTTGATTTCTGAGTTATTGGGCATCAAGTAAGCTAACCCTCTGTGAATGCACCCTGATTTCAGCCCCAAAAGAGGCACGCTGCACTCACATTTCAACGAGGAATGTTAAATATAACTCACTGCACCTTACATTGGCCTCAAGGAAAGGGTGCTCAGAGTCAGCTGGTGCTCAGAGCTTGCCGAGTTGCAGAAAACTGCTTGTGTGTTGGACTTTTAATGTGCTCGCACAGCCCCAAGCTTCCAGGAGCCTTGGGATGTGGGAGCAGATGGGTCCTGTAGCAGAGGAGAGAAAGTTCAACGTGACCCAAGAAAGCAGTTTCTGGAGGAAGGACTCTAAAGAAACGTGACTTTGCTGTGACTTGTTTCTGCTTTACAGTAAAGTTAGAGCATAAAGGAAGAGATCTTCATGCACGCACCAGTAGCTCTCGTGCAATTAAAACAATTTTGTCGTGGTGCCCCTGGGAGAGGGCAGCTCGCTGCCTGCCCTGCTGGGATCATTGCAGGCCTGATGTGCATCTGGTGGGGTCGGTGCTGAAGCCTCCCTGCTGTGCTTTTCTCTCAACCCTCTCCTTTTCTACAGCCCTGCAGGCACCTGTGAACTGGAGGCTGGGGAAGCTGCTTGGAAGAGGAGCTTTTGGGGAAGTTTACCTCTGCTATGATGCTGACACGGGCCGAGAGCTGTCGGTGAAGCAGGTGCCATTTGACCCTGACAGTCAAGAGACAAGTAAGGTGAGTGTGAGGGCAGCACCATGCTCTGTGGGGCTGTGGGCTGGAGGCTGAGGGTAAAAAAACTCCTTGAGCACACCTCTCACGCAGTGTGTCTGTCCTGTTGCAGGAGGTGAACGCTTTGGAGTGTGAGATCCAGCTGCTGAAGACTCTCCGCCACGACAGGATAGTGCAGTACTATGGGTGTTTGCGGGATCCCGAGGAGAGGAAGCTGTCAATCTTTGTTGAATACATGCCAGGGGTAAGTGCAGTTCCTGCTGAGGATTGTCATGACCTACACTGCCATGGAGTTTGGAGAAATTTGCATCTGGTGTTGTAGTGAAGCTTAGCTGTCAAGTTTATCTGATGAGCCAAAGCAAAGCACTGCATCCCAGCACCCCCAGGAGCTGGGGGAGCTCAGATCGAGCCAGGTGTCGTGGTCAGGCCCCTCAAGGTGCAGCGGGTCAAATCAGAAGCCTGGAAGGGTCTCGGGTTTGGATCCTGGGGAAGGGTGTGTGCACAGCCTGCAATCTGAACGTGGTGAATGTGGGACGTGCTCCAGATCTGGCTCCAAGCTCTGCGGCCTGAGCCCATCCTTAAGTATTTATTACAAATCCCTCCAGGACACGTTAATAGCACAACTGTCCACCCACAGCTGTCACCAATTATTCCAGGCTTTCAGCACGTGTGCGTTCAACCCAGCGTTACTCACTGGTAAGCCTTCTCCTGCTCAGGACTGAACCTTGTGTTGGTAGCACGATCCAACCTACCAGGAGGGGATTAACTCTGCGGTTTTGCTGACACACGGGGTGAAATAGCTCCAGGGAAAAGGAAGCTCTGAGGGAGCCTGGAGAGCACACACACATCAGTTGAACATCTCTGTAAGGACGCAGGTTGCATCAGAGTCAGCTGGACAAAGTCACTGCATGGTATAAACCAGCACAACTGCTGGCGTTGCTGGGCGAGCTGCTCTCCTACGTCCTGCCTGCCCAGCTGGGTTCATCCCCCAGCCCGTGGAAGAATAAATCCTTGTTTGTTCAGGCCTTGTTTGTAAGGTCAGAGGGGACTGGAAGTCACCTGGTCACAAATAATTCCGGTCATTAGTAAATGTGCTGCAGGCTCTCCGAACATGTCACGAATCAGGTGGGCTTCATGCCTTCGAGCCCCTTCCAAGCACCGTCCTGCCTCTGTCCCTGGGGACAGGCACATCACTTCCAGGCCTTATGACAAGGCTCAGACCCCAAAAAGAAAAGCCCAGAAGCTCCAGCAGCACCCTTGCTGCTCGTTCTGCAGCGTGCTGGTGTTTGTTAGCAGCCAGGAAACCACCGTTTGGTGCTGGGGCAGCGTCCAGTAAGGCTGGAAGTTGAGGGTTTGTTTTCTTTGCGATAAACCAGAGCTCTGACCAAATACAGATTGAGTTCAGTGCCACGGGGATGGTTTACTGCACAAAAGCAGCTCAGGGCTTTGGTTTCCAGTGGCAGTGGAAGTGGCTGAGCTCCCAAAGCTCACAGAAGAGCAGCTCCAAACTGCTGGATGTGGCCAGGTTTCTGATCATACACAGCTAGCATGGTAAAATCTTCAGGGGGCAAAGCTTGGGTGCACCACCAGGCTGGCATTCTGGTGATCAGCCCTGTTACAAAGCTGTGTGTTTCCTGCTGTACCCTGCACCATTCACCTCTTATTTTCAGTTCATGCTTGGAAAACAGAACGGTCCCTTTGACCACACGTCCTGAAGACCCTGTTTTCCCTTCTTTGGCTTCATTTTTTGATGTCCCCCAGGATAAGGAAGCTTGCAGAGTTGAGGGTGAGGGAGGACACCCTGCCCACGAGGTGCAGGAGGGGATAATTTCCGAGCATCCCAGCTTACTTCAGCAACACCGTGAAAGGGAAGGGAGATCCCCAGCCACAGGATTGCCACCAGCCCCAAAAGAAACTGGGAGAAAGGCTTCACAGAAGGTGACAACCATGAAGAGCTCGTGAAGAGTATTCTCACCTGATTAGAAGCTCCTCATTAGTGCGTCCCTTGTCCATGAGCTGTTGGTGAAGGCGAGCCACTAGAGGGGGAACAAGCTCCGTGCTGTTGGCAGAGGGTGGCACTGATCTCTGCCAGAGGCTGTTCCTCTTTTTCCACTGGTGTCTGAGGCACTGGGGTCAAATCCTTGCTCTGTTCAGCGCTTCCTGGATGTTTATCTTGCCATTTCTCCAACAGAATGGCTTGGGTTTTTTATTTGAGCTGAGAAATGTGGTGGTCAGGGAAGTTCATAAGGTCACTGTGACGTGATGCACCCGATTCTTCTGGTCCTTACGGTTGCTGCCCGATGTTTCCTCTCGCCAGGGTTCGATAAAGGACCAGCTCAAAGCGTACGGTGCTCTGACGGAGAACGTCACTCGGAAGTACACCAGGCAGATCTTGCAGGGAGTCTTCTACTTGCACAGCAATATGATTGTCCACAGGGACATTAAAGGTGAGTATGGAACGCAGGGGAGCTTCTTGCTTCCGTAGGTTTCTTCAGCCCAGCCTCACCGTGCCCCAACATAATTCTTGTGCAAAACACAGAGCAGATATTTGGTATTTAAGTTATTTTTGCCCCCTCTTTGCCTCTTGAACCATGAAAATCTTGAGCAAGCTGGAACCAAACTCTTGTTCTGTCTTCCTGCCTGGGATGCCCAGACCAGGTACTCTTAAGAGAAACTACCTGCCTTTACGGCTGGCAGATCTCCACTTTTCTAAAAATCTGGAGGCTGTCCAGGAGAGCTGGAGGGAATCTGCTCTCCCGGAGAGCAGCTGCCTAGGAGAGAGGGCTGTAAAATCCTACAGCTGAGTCCAGCCCCAGCCGAGCCCTTTGGGCTCCCTCACATCCACCTCCTTGCCTCTGCCCTTGCTCTTCCTGCTGTGGCTGCTCAGTTCAGCTTGCTGCTTCATCACTCGGTGTTTTTGCTGTTGCTTCTTGTCCCCAGGTGCCAATATTTTGCGAGATTCTGCTGGAAATGTGAAACTTGGAGATTTTGGGGCCAGCAAACGTATCCAGACCATCTGCATGTCTGGGACCGGGATTAAATCCGTCACGGGAACGCCGTACTGGATGAGCCCGGAGGTCATCAGCGGAGAAGGCTACGGAAGGAAAGCTGATGTGTGGTAAGGAGCAGGATAAAACCCCCCACTGCCACGTTTTTGGAAGATGGAAAGGATGCAAGGGATGGAAATGGGAGGTGAATGTCAGGATCAAACATGCAGACACCCAGAGAGAGCAAATCCTAGCTGAAAGCCCCCGGAGAGGAGCACACAAGACCACAGCTTGCTTTCAAAATGCCCGGTGTGTGAGGACGGGGTTTGCCAGATGAGCTGTTGAGCTCTGGTCACCCCATTTTTAGGTTAACTCAGCCCAGCTTGGAGGCTCGGCGTGATCTTTTTGCAGCCTCTGAAATCGGCTGCTGGGTGTTTGCGTGCGGCTCAGACACGAAGACACCCAAAATCTTTGGGTGCTCCCGAATATTTTGAGGCCTCTCTGGAGGATGGCAGCTGGAGCTGCAAAGAGCAGGGATAACTCCACTTGGCCTGCCAATAAACGGGGATAAAGTCAGACGTAAATCTGTAGGCAAGCAGCTTTCATTCTGGCTCAACTCTTTGGGGAACAACATCCTATTACTGAAATTGGGGTGTCTAAACTCATCGGGGTTTTCCTTCTGGGGTTGCTCCCATCAGGTGCTTTGCATTCTCGACCATCTTTTTTCACGAAGCTTAATCTTGAGTTAAAGCAGGGCAGAAAAAAACACCCATTTTAGGACAAATCTCACAAGTCTGCTCTCCCCGGTGGTCTTGCCGTCTCGTTGCAGGAGCGTGGCCTGCACCGTGGTGGAGATGCTGACGGAGAAGCCGCCCTGGGCCGAGTTCGAAGCCATGGCGGCGATTTTTAAGATTGCCACACAGCCCACCAACCCCCAGCTCCCCGACGGCGTCTCCAGCTCCTGCCGCAACTTCCTCAAGCAGATCTTCGTGGAGGAGAAGCGGAGGCCGACGGCCGAGGACCTGCTGAGGCATCCCTTCGTCAACTGCGGCCTCTGAGCCCCGGGCGGCGGCTTGGGGAAACGCTGATGGGACAGGGGGCGGCCGCCAGACCCGCGGCCCCTTTTTATTTTGGCACCCTGCCCTTCACACCTCCAGCCCCGGGCTCGTCCTTGCTTGGTGGCTCCCCGCTTGGGTCCTTTCTCGCTCGGTGGCTGCCGCCTTGTGGGATTTTTGGAAGGCACGCTAGGGACCTGGAGGCCACCGCTGGGGAATTGGGGCCGAGGGCTTCCCCGGAGCACCCTCCTCATCCTCGGGACCAGCGGAGGAATGGGATGCTGAGCACCCAGCGCCGCTCCCCGCAGAGGAACAGAGCTTCAGCCCAGCTGGAGATGATCCTCAGGGCGTGGAGCAGGAGGGACCCGGTGTCCACCAGGGGACAGGAACCTTTCGGAGGTGGTGACACCGGGTGGCCTCGCCAGGGAGGTGGCGTTGGCTCCTGTCCTGTGCCTTAAGCGGTTACAATCGCGGTGCCTGGCAGGGAGCCGGGCGCGTTTCTGCAGTTTCTTGCCTTCGTGTGCGTGCGTGTACGTGTGCGTGTGGAGCTGCGGGGGCACGGCCGGGCCTCCGCATCCTCTGATTTTGCCTCAAATCGGGCAGGGAGCACCCGCGGGGCTGCGCCAGCATGAAGCCGCAGCCTGGGGCCGCAGAGCTGCGCGGATGGCGTGCAGCCGGGCTCCCTTCTGCAGTATTTCGGGAGGTGGAGGTTAAATTGGGAAAGCTTAAAGCAGAGCTGGGCTACGGCCCCCAACCAACACTACTACCCCGTGGGGAGCAAGCAGAGAGGCCATGGGAGGCGATGAATTTACCAGATCTGGCTCATTTTGCCCAAATTAATTGCATTGCCCCATCTCCTGCTTCCTCACTGCGTTAGCTGTTTCCACCCGGCTCAGCAGAGGTTAAACGAGCAGTTCCCAGGGTGGTGTCAGCTTCAGGCCAGCATGTCAAACCCAGGTTTATTTTATTTTAATGTTGTTTTTTCATTGAAAATGAGATGTGTAGCTCAGAGCAAAGGGAAATGGAGAACGGGGCTGGTCGTGTGACTTTGCACATCCTTAAGTCCTGGGCGGGAGAGATCGAGTCGTCCTGCGTTGGCACTGGGAGCATTTCCTCGTCTGCAGCTCCAGAGAGAGAGGCAAAAACCACAATTATTTCAGTTAAAGAAAAGGCTGGGGCTGTTTGGGCAAATTAAATAGCCAGAAGGGTTCCCTGTAAGTGTGTCCAGGAGCTGCAGAGGTTGGTGGTGCCTACCCGAGCTTTGTGCCTGGCCACCAGGGCGCTGGATGCCGGCTCTCTGGGCTGTCCCCTCCTTCCTCTAGGGGAAAGAAAGAATTTTATTCTGTGAATAGGACCAAATCCATCACTCTGGTTAGCTCCAGAGGATGGATTTAAAAAAAAAAACACACAAGAAAAAACGTGTTGGCAAATAAGGGGTTGTCAGATGAACAAAGAGTGTTTCAGGAAAGCTAAAAATGTTTTTAATGCTCTTTTCTCCCCTTTCACCCAACCTGTTCAGCTTTGATTTTTCGCCCCTTAGGGGTGGATGGGAGCTGAATATTTTCTCCAAAGCCTCGAGAACAAAAGCGCGGGCTCGGCCGCGCTGCCCCGAGCGCTGGGGGAGGCTGAGGGGGACCCTCCCAAAAACGCTCCCTGGGGCCTCGTCAGCCCCACAAAGCACCCCAAAAAGCCTCCCTGGGACAGCCGGGCCCCCTGGCTCATGTGTGATGGGGTTTGTGTGTGTGTGTGTGTCCGTGGAGGTGTGTGTAGGGCTGTGTGTGCAAGGCTGTGTGTGAGTGCCCGCGTGTGAGTGCGACTCGCTCCTCAGGTGCCTTTGCCTTTGTGTTTTTTTAAAACAAAAAAACCCTCGCAGTGTTCTGATGTACAAAATGAAAACTAGAAGAGAATGTAATATTATGCCATGTAAATTTCCTTTTTGTTTTTTTTTTGTTTATTTTTATATATGTATATTTTATTTTGTCCGGCGCACCCGGGGCAGCGGGGGGGGGGCCCTCCTGGGGCCGTGTCCCCGCTCTCCGTGCGGTGTTGCCGCGTGTATCCCAGAGAAACGTTTTCCTCCCGTTGGAAAAAGGCTCCAGTGTCGTGTTCTGTGTCTGCCGGGCGCGCGGCCACCCCTCTGTGTCCTTCCCTCCTCAGGGGCTCTGCCCTGAGACTGGGACCCCACCATGTATGGCACTCGCCAGCTTCTGGACTCGGCTCTGGTGAGGCCGCACCTCGAGCACTGTGTTCAGTTTTGGGCCCCTCGCTACAAGAAGGACATGGAGGTGCTCGAGCGGGTCCAGAGAAGGGCGACGAAGCTGGTGAGGGGCCTGGAGAGCAAGTCCTACGAGGAGCGGCTGAAGGAGCTGGGCTTGTTCAGCCTGGAGAAAAGGAGGCTCAGGGGCGACCTTATCGCTCTCTACAGATACCTTAAAGGAGGCTGTAGCGAGGTGGGGGTTGGCCTGTTCTCCCATGTGCCTGGTGACAGGACGAGGGGGAATGGGCTAAAGTTGCGCCAGGGGAGTTTTAGGTTAGATGTTAGGAAGAACTTCTTTACTGAAAGGGTTGTTAGGCACTGGAACGGGCTGCCCAGGGAGGTGGTGGAGTCACCATCCCTGGAGGTCTTTAAAAGACGTTTAGATGTAGAGCTCAGGGATATGGTTTAGTGGGGACTAGCATTAGGTCAGAGGTTGGACTTGATGATCTTGAGGTCTCTTCCAACCTAGAAATTCTGTGATTCTGTGATCTCCATGGTCACATTGGCCTGGTGGTACACCACAGTAGGAGGCTTGGGGCGGGCTCTTTTATTTCTGCCTTCTTCAATTTCATTCATTTAATTCATTTATTTTATTAATTTAATTCATTCATTTCATTCATTCATTTATCCCTATCTCCATCCATTTGCATTTTCTCCTTTCAGCGGACTATCTCACAGAATTTACTATTAATTTTTAATTTTAATTTAATTTTTAATTTAATTTCTATTTTTTAATTTTAATTTTAACTCTTTCTTTAACCTTTTAATTTTAATTCCCTTTCGCTCCCTTATCCCAATCCCTTCCCCCCTTTTTCCTCCTCCACCCCCGAGCCCAACCAGGGGGCGGGGCCAACGAGCCAGGTGGGCGTGGTTATGCAAATTAACCAGGCGTATCCATACCAAACCCCGCCCCCTCCCTGCCCGCGGCGGGGGGCGTGAAAATGGCGGCGGCGGCGGGCGGGGAAGCCAAGATGGCGGCGGGCAGCGGCAGCGGGGCGCTGAGGCGGGTGCGGGCGGTGCTGGGGCACCTGGCGGGGCAGCCCCCGGCCGCCGTGAGGGCAGCACCGTGCGGGAGCTGGCCCGGGGGAGCTTCGTGTCCCGAGGATGTGGTGGTGGTGCACGGCAGGAGGACGGCCATCGGCCGAGCCAAGCGCGGGGGGTTCAAGGTAGGGATTTGCTTTATTTATTTATTTATTTATTTTGGGGTGTCCCTCACGCCCTAAATCTGCGGGGCGCCTCCGGATCCCCCCCCAATCCTTACTCGTCCCTCGGGGAGCTGCCTTTCCCCTAAATACCGACCCCTCAGGGTTTGCCCCCACACCACTCGCCAACCACCAGGGAAATAAAATTAGTTTTTGGGGTGCGGAGCTGCCACCAAGAGCCCCCCCCAGCCCCACAGGCTGCTGTGGGGTGCCTGACCCCGCTGTGTCCTGCCCCACAGAGCCCAACAGCCCCGGTTCCCTGAGGAACTGCGGTGAGGAAACATCTCCCTCACCTTCCTGCCCTGTGTGGAGCTCCTGGACCTGCCTGCGCCTTGCCGTGCCTCAGGAGCAGCATTTTGGGGTTTGAGGGAACCCCAAACGTTGTCTAATTGCTTTTTGTCCTCCTCAGCCTGTTCTCCTCGCCCCACGTTCCCCCAAACCCAGCCCCGGGACAGCCACGACACCTGCAAGCGGAGGTGGTGGTGGTGGGACACGAGGTGTTGCCAAGCTGCCTGTGTTTTTGTAGGTTTTCAAGGGGCTGTGTTGAATTCGGGGTCGATAACGGCCCACAAAACTCTAGTGGTAGTGACCGAAGTCACTGAGTTGTGCAAAACCTGCTCCAGGCGTGTGCGACGCGCTGCTGGGGCAGAAATCCCCACAGTAACTCAGCGGGATGTGGGTGGTGGGGTCCGGCTGCTGCCCTTTGGGGTCATCTTGGGATGAGGGAACAGAAGAAATTCTACCTTCTCTGCATGCTCGTGCCATATAACTCATCCTAGTCGCTTTTAAGGCCCTATAACGTGTATTTGTGTGCTTGCAGGACACCACACCCGATGAGCTGCTCTCTGCCGTTATGACCGCTGTCCTGCAGGACGTCGGGCTTCGACCGGAGGTGTTGGGGGACATCTGTGTGGGTGAGTGGTCGCCCTCAGACTCCAGGACAGGTCCACGGGGGGCTTGTGGGTGTTGTGGGGGTCGGAAGGGGTTAACGCGTGGCGTTGTTGTGCTCATGAAATTAACACATCCTTGATGACCATCCCATGAAGTGGCTGGGCTTTGTCCCTTTGGTGTCTGCAGCAGGTAGCGGGGGCAGTGCAGCTGACTGATGCCAATCTTATATTTGCACGCAGGGAATGTGCTGCAGCCGGGAGCTGGCGCTTTGGTTGCGAGAGTTGCACAATTTCTAAGGTAAGCTCTCAACCATATCAAAGTTTCTTCTCATCTTGGGCCTCGGCTGCCGAGCAGCACTGGGTGAGAGGTCGTGATGAGGCTCGTGAGCTCGTAGGAGTTTCCAGCGGGTCACCTTTTGCCCAGAAATCAGACTTTGATCGAGCGTTCGGAGAGCCCTGCTGGGAGCAGCCAGCCCTGTTGGCAGGGACCGGGCGGCGCTGCGGGGAACGGCCTCCCTTTCCATGCAGACATCGTTCTGCGGGCTGCCCCTGATGTGTCCTTCTGCTAAAGCAGTTTACAGACGCTGCTTTGGAGGGGCACAGGCAGCAATTAGCAACATTGCAGAGCCTTTGAGTGTTTCTGGCTCTGGTCAGAGCTCAGGAGCTAGACTTGTGAGAGGGCCCTGCTTACAGAGGGCTTTCCAAGGTAGACCTGTGGGGAAACAGCGCACGGAGCCACCTGCAATTCCATTTGGAAATTATCCACAAATTTTGCTTTGTCTTGGTGCAGGTCCAAATAGGTCAACAAGCGTTTATTGGGATCAGTTGAGCGTGAGGGTTATAGTTTAATTGAGAGGCTTCGTGTTCTCTGTAGCAGTCTGGTTTGTTGTGTGGTCTTTAACACTCTCTCATGTCCTAGTGGGATCCCAGAGACGGTGCCGTGCTCGAGTGTCAACCGGCAGTGCTCCTCCGGGCTGCAGGCCATTATCAATATAGCTGGTAAGCGTGCACGGGCACTCGGGCTGACGTTGATGCCTGCCCTGCTACGAGTGCTCCTTTATCCTGGTCATTTGTTCTCCAGTCCCTCTGAGCAGTAAAAACAGTGATAAAGCCTTCTGCTGCTAGGAATTCTCAGTGTGGTGTTGACTTGAATGCTTCCATATCCTTGAGATACGAAGATACCCTTACAGATACACCTCGTACCCTTGAGATACATAAGATACCCTTAGAGAAATACCTTGGTCATCTGAGAACGAGTTCTTTAAATCATCACTTCCACATCAGGCTCTTTCTCTGAGGGTCAATCCCGTCCTCCCTGCTGGCAGGTCAGGTTGTGCTTAGTTTCAGCCACATCAGCTCCTTGGCTTATGTTGGAGTGTGGAGCGAAAGCCCCTTCCACGGGTAGTGAATGCATCAGGTGGTCACAAAACTGCAGCTGGAATCCAAGCGCTTTGGCTCCTAACGATAATAAAGAGTGTTTGTGCCCTGCTGTTACAGGTGGCATCCGAAATGGGTCGTATGACATTGGCCTGGCCTGTGGGTAAGAACATCTTTTTATGGCACTTTTATGGCCTCCTGCAGCAGGTCTTGGATGAGGCGTCAGAAATCCCTTCCAAGCAGATCTGTGTTCCCAGAAGGCAGCAGACCGTGAAGCATCTTCAGCTTCGTGGCCTAAGACTGACTGTACAAAAGCTCGCAAGTCCTAAGCGGTGGCTTTGTATTCGTGCAGTAAAATTGGGTTCCTTCGATCTGTTAACTCATCTGTAGGTCAAAGGCTGCAGCCTCTGGGACTCACATCTGAAATTCTTCGTGTTGCAAAATGCCAGTGCATAGCTCACTGAAGTCTCTTTGTCATGGGTTGCTTCATACTCGATGTTGTTCCACTGCCAACCAGTTTTTAAGCTGGAACTGGCCTTTTTCTGGCTGTTGACAGCTCTAGTCCAAGAACCTTGGGTTTCTTATTACGTCTGAAGGCAGAAGTGCCAGAATAGTTAGCAGCTCCTTCCTCACTGTGGAAACATGAGAAATTAACTGTTGACATTGGTGTCCTGTCCTAATGGAACAAGGACCCACTTAGGCTAGCAACCCGGTGTAATTTGGTGCTAATTTTTGTACTGACGCCTGAGGAGCTTCTGCCTCAGCCAGTTTTTAATTATCAGCTGCACTTCTGTAGATTAATAGGGAATAATGTAGTCAAGACATCGATCACTCCTAGCTGAGCAATCACCATGAGTGTAGCACGGAAGCAGTGGCAGTAACTTCATTTTTTTTCCCCTATGTTTAGCGTGGAAACGATGTCCCTCAGAAGCGCCAATAACCCTGGCGATATCAGCTCCAGTATGATGGAGAACAGCAAAGCTCGAGATTGCCTTATTCCCATGGGGTGAGTGCCTCCTCCCGGAGGGGTTTCCAGGTCGGCCATCCTCCTGTGACTGCTGTTCCACACCGATCTGAGTGCCGGGAGCTTGGCTGTGGGTGTCAGCGTCCTCCTGGGCTGGCCCAGAAGATCTGTGGTGTGGGATGGGTGGGGAAGATCAGCAGCTCTGATAGACGATTTTCTTGCCTTATATCTTAAGCTCAGTGGCTTTGTTAATACAAAAGACTGTGAATCACAGCATTTTGTGTGTTTAGGATTTCTGGAAATGCCGTTGCATTTCATAATCTCAATTTTCATGTAGAACAAAGCAGCTGGTTCCTTGTAAAAGGATATTCTGCTGTTCTCTGAAGTGCTAAAGGTGTTAAGGCGACAGCTGCCTCGAATTCGTTTCTCCTGTACCTGTCCTGCCAGCTTCGTTAACCCCCTTGGCATGGCCACACGTTGGCAGAGGTGGATGCCATCCTTGTTGCTCTTAAATTGACCCCGAGGGGAGTCTGTGGTGTGATAGGAGAGCAGATTTGGACCTTGCTTTGGTTACTGGATTTGATTCAGGGTCGGCTTCTGCCAAGTAGGTCCAGGTTGAGCAGTCAGCAGTTAGCTTTGAGACTGAAGTCACTGCTTCTAACTCGTCTTGTCAATAAAAGACAATTCCAGCTTCGTTAGGTACATTATTGGGTTAATTTTCTCATGTTGTTTTTCCCAGAATAACCTCAGAGAATGTGGCGGAGAAGTTTGGAGTTTCCCGCAAGAAGCAAGACGCCTTTGCCTTGGCTTCCCAACAAAAGTAAATGCTTCTTATTTTCACCTTTTTGGTTAGAGAACACATAGAGATAGGGGAAAAAAACACAACAACATTGCACTTTGTGCAAGTGGTTACGTGCAGCCTTCATCTTGCCTTTCACAACTGAGCGGTGAGTAAAGAAGCCTGAGGTGGTCAGAGCAAAGCCCAGCGGCATGGTGAGGCAGCCTGAGCCCGGAGCTGTGTGGTTTTGCACACTCACCACCAGCCGTGCAGGCTTTGAGCACTGGGTGCAGCTGTGTTTGCCATGGAGCGAAGGACACCATTGCCACAAGGTTCCCAAACCCAGTGGACAGCTCAGTGTTCTCACAGTGGCTTTGGCTCGGTGTCATTTTAAACCCACCGTGGGCATCACAGCAGAAGTAAGCTTCCCCGAGGGGGAGCATTTCAAAGGAGGCACTTCCAGAGAGCTGCCGAGCTTATAAGAGGAGCGGCTTGTCTTTGCTGCAGGTGCTTGGCTCCAAGTGAGCCCAATCCTACTTCTAAAACCCTTCCTTTAGGTGAAATAATTGCCAGGGTGAGCTAACCCTTGGAATCCCTGGGGCGGTACCAGCAGTCCAGGGGCAGTGGGCGAGACGTTGAAGTTGCTGGCATCAAGGAGTTAAACTTTCAGAACTGTGTTTAAGCATCGCCCCGGTCCAATTATTTATCTAACGCAGGAAGCTGCTGGACAAGGCAGTTAACCTTTAAATTCTGGCCCTGCTCGGAGGGAACTTGGCATGCCAGGCTTTCTCACTGCCTGATAGCGCAGAAGGGTATGTGAACACGATCCTCACCTCTCACATGAGGAAGGGGTTGATTTTCTGGCTGCAGGCTCAGGATGTCTGTGGAGTTACTGATCTCTCCTTCGGCTCTTAATCTCTCTTGGCAATATTAAATATTTATATTTTATGAATAACAGCATAAAGGAGTAGAACAAGGTTTGTCTCCAATTTGCATTACCTGCAAAGGGCACTTTGCTGCTGGAAGGTAAATCTTCTAAATTGTCTCTGCTGTGGAGGCTTTTAAATACCTTGTTAGTATGAAAGATTAAAATTATGTGCTCAGAGTTAATTATAAATTATCCACTTGCCTTCTTCACGCTTCCATCAGTCTGCTTGTGTCAGTTGTTCCCTGCTGGTTGGACCAGACCCAATCCTCTGTGCACCTTTACTTCTGGTTCCCTTCTGTGTAGTCAATAAATTATGCAACACAAATTGGAATCATTTGAAAGATGACATTTAAATGCCAGAAGATGATACTTCAAGTCTGCAGTCTAAAAGTCAGCTTGTTTTTTGTAGGACAAAATCTGGAATGGGTGAAACTCTAGCTGTTCTGCAACTTCTCACAGATCATTAGTATTGCATAGAAGCTTAGCTGCCTCGCCCTGTTTTAAACTTTCAGAAATAGGAATTGATGTTTGGACATGGGGATTATTTTCTCCCAGTTGTGGTGTGACTGTACCACTGGACAAGTACAGCCTGATGGCTGTGGGTTGCTGGTGGTCAGTCAGTCACTAAGGTGTGAGTGGGGACAGAACAGGATCTTGCACAGCGCTGTGTGCTCCTGTGACCCAGGTTTGGGGAGGGATGCCCAACGTATAAGTGATGTATTTCTTGTGACAGAGGTCAGAAGTCTGTCTTCCCGTTAACAGAAAGCAGTATTTGTCTTCTTCCCATCTGCTGCTCAGTGCTGATGCACCTGGTACCAAGTCACACCTGAATTCATCCTCTGACTGCTCTTGTTGGCATCACTTCTTGCAGTTCCCTTCCAGGTTATTTTAACTTTTGTACTTTCCTTTAACAGAGCAGCGAAAGCTCAGCAGCTGGGACTGTTTAAAGCCGAGATTGTCCCAGTCAAGACCACTGTCCAAGATAAGGAGGGCAACCAACAAACAATCACCGTGCACCAAGACGAAGGGATTAGGCCCTCCACCACCCTGGAAGGCTTGGCAAAGCTGAAGCCTGCCTTCAAGGAGAACGGCAGCACCACAGCAGGTCAGCTCTGCCTTCAATGACACGATTTTCTGCCCTTCCCGTGGCTCGCCTGCCCCGTCGCACCATGTGCTCAGGCAGAAGGGGTGGTGACAGATCTCTTCCAACAGGCAACGCCAGCCAGGTCAGTGATGGAGCAGCTGCAGTTCTGCTGGCAAAACGCTCCAAAGCAGCACAGCTGGGGCTGCCGGTGCTGGGGGTGCTCAAGTCCTTCGCCGTGGTCGGAGTCCCGCCCGATGTTATGGGCATTGGGCCAGCCTACGCCATCCCTGCTGCTGTGGAGAAGGCAGGTAAGGACCATGCTGCTCAGCACAAGGCAGAATCGCTCCCTGTGGACTAAAATTTGAGGTGATTATTCCAGCACGTGCAGATAGAACCCTGAAAGAGATGCTGCCTGGTGGTGGTGTAATGCTGCTTGCTTCTGAGGCACAAATTACCCCTCACTCACCTGTGAGAAGCTCAGGACTAAACCCCTGCACAGCTTCAACAAGCTGCCGGCATGTGGCAAATGATTTAGAGTTCGTTTAGTTTTCTTGTCGCATAATGTGAGGAGGCTGTGGGTGTGTGGTTTTCTTGTTTGTGTTTTGGTTTTCTTTACAATTTTGGCATCTGACCAGTGGAACAGGCTTTCCTCTTTGTTATCACACTCACAGGGTCGAGCAGCTTTTATGGCTCACGATTATTATTGCGGTCAGCTGTCGGCACTGTGGTTACACATTTGCCTATAGTTTTATCTTTGTCTCGAAATACCCTTCGGTCTTTAACCCCAAAGAAACCACATTTAATCCAAGGAAACTGCACACTCAGTGACATGATGCCACGGACTGTGAGGTTTTGCAGTCTTTAGATACTTGTACACATAAAGACATACAAATGTAGATACCCAACGGGGAGCCAAGGTCCTCTCTTTGTTGTTGTTAGCAGGGTAGAAGTAGAATTCATGAAGAAAGACTTTGAGTTATTCTCTTTAATGTACTTATAAGGCAATAATATCTCCTTTTTAAATCCTAATTTTTCTGAACCATAGGTCTGACACTAAATGACATTGATATATTTGAAATCAACGAAGCCTTTGCAAGCCAGGTGAGTGATCATTCTGGTTGAGTTGTTACGCTGCTTGGAAACTAAATATATTTCAACTTGATCTCAAAATGAAGATTTGACTACACTTCTGGCCAAATGTTAAAAACATGCAGACTATTTTCTTGAACTAAAAATAAGCAGGGCATTGCTTAGGTGTAGCATAAGATTTAAAAAAAAAAAAAAAAAAAGATCTACACTAAATAATAACGATTACTTCATTGTTGTATTCTCATACTCACTTGCAAAATTGCTGTTTCACAAGGCTGTAACTTATTACAGGGTGGTGTCCGTGTGAATGTGTTGCACTTACCAATTTGCATGTCCTTAATGAAATGCAGAAATGTCACTTGTTGGCCACAAATCTGTGACTTGCCAGTCAGAAAGTATGTGGGCTCAGCTTGAGATGAAGTTGATAGATTTTGCTTGCTTCGTGTGCTTTGGATTTGTAATGTAGTTCTGCTGCTTTCCACTGGAAAACGGTCTAACTAGTCAGGCCCATAAATACTAATTATTTTAATACTTTAATACTTTCAGAGCAGCTGACATAACAGTGTGGATTTTACGTAATAGAAAACATAACTTGAGCTCAATTCATCTTGAGCACAAATCTTCCGAAGCCCCTAGACCTGCCTAGGATTATCGGCCTGGCTGTTTGCTGTCTTTCTTTGTATGTGGAGATCACCAGCCTTCTGTGCAGCCCTCCTAGTTCAGTATTGCAGGAGAGCTGAGAACTAACAGAGGTACAGAGGTGAGAGCATCCTGTGAAACGTTTCCCTTTTGTCTTTCCAGGCTGTGTACTGTGTTGAAAAGCTGGGCATTCCCATGGAGAAGGTCAACCCCCTGGGAGGAGCAATAGCCCTGGGGCACCCCCTGGGCTGTACGGGTGCCCGGCAAGTTGTCACCTTGCTCAATGAATTGAAGCGTAGAGGGAAAAGGTGAGCACTGAACAACGGGATTAACCTTAGGTGTGTCTGGGTAAATCGGGCTCAGAAGTAACGATCACTTTTATTGGATTTTTTTCCCCTGGTCAGGTGATATAAACGTGATATTTTTCTTAATTCCACGTCTTCTTTCGTTCCAGAGCGTATGGTGTTGTGTCAATGTGCATTGGAACTGGTATGGGAGCTGCAGCAGTATTTGAATACCCAGGGAACTAAACTCCAGCGTACTGACAAATCAACACAGCTGCTAATTCTCTGCCTTCTCTAGTAATAGCAAGTGATTTGCACTGTGGAATCAAGTGGATTCAGGGATCCGTTACTAGCTCTACAAATTACAGGCTCAAATTGAGAAGCAGAACCAATCCTACAGATCAACTGAGGTGGAAAAAAGCAAGATTGACATTCACTTCAGTGCTGCGAAGCATCCTAGGATGAGAAAAGAAACGAGTTCAGCTGAAGTTCAAAGACAGGCCCTCGTGTGGTGATTGTGAATGAACACTTGTAATTGATCCCTTTACTTTGAACTCCTCCTCTCTAATTATATTTACGTTGTACATTGTATGACAAATCACCTAAAACCATGGCTCCAAATGAAAATGATGGTGCACATGAGATGGCTTTTCCAGAGATTTCTTAAAGATTTCATCATCTAGTCTAGAAAGGTTTCTTTTGAAAGCAGTGCAAAGACTTAATATTTCCTTTATAACTATGTTTGTTCTACCCAGGTCACAAATTGGCTCTGTCTTAAATCATCCATATGCTAGAGGATGTGCTTTAACTTTCTATCTATCTACAGAGAGAGATTTTTAACCAAGCTGCTCTGAAACAACCACGGGGGCAAGGTGGAAGGGCTGCTAGGAAGTAGTTTACACAGCAGCAAAATATAAACAAACAGTTGAGGTGCCTGCAAGGAAAGGTTCTGAAGAATTGCTAGAAACAAGGTGTTTGAAAGTAGCCATTCCATTTTTTTACAACACGTTTCTAATTATAAGCTTGTATGACTAACACAACAGACAAGCTTCTGCTTAATAATTAGATATAAAGGAGATCTCAGCACTAATACAAATGTTTACATTTCATCTTCGGAAATTCTCCCTTACCTGTTCTTGTTAGTAGAAAGATCACTGAAGCTAAGAGCTAATGGCTTGAAAAAGAAATGCATTAATGACCTTTGACTGTTAGGAAGTTTAAATTTGTAACACAGACTGAAGTTTTTTGTCCCAGCTCTTATTTTGCACTTAATAATACAACTGGGCTCCTGCAATATCTTTGTATTCTTTTTCTTGTGATATTTGAAGGTCACGATTAGCGAGAGCTGTTTCATTTTCTCATGTTCCTGTTCTGTAGCTGGTCTCGCTTACCCAGCCATCTCACGTATTTCAGAGCAAAAAGATAGCATTCTTTAACTGTAACTCAAGGGTCCTCTTTGCACACTACAGTTCCTATGCATAGAATGAGTTCTCAGTGCCAGTACAGATCTGCTTTCATGCAGGCAGAAGGCAGATAGCATCATCTTTTGTTCTCTTCCCAGCCCTTCCTCCCCACACACAGTGCCTCTAACAAAAACTTTAGGCGATGGGAGTGGAAAATTGAACAGTCTCAGAAGTGGGAATTTCAGTGACCTTTTGCTAAAGCAATTTTAAAAACAGTTGAAGGGATGTGTGAGTAAATGGGAACCATGTGGGAGGAAGGAATCAAGAGGAAGAAGGGTTTCTCCCTCCGTAGCTGAAGGGGCTGTTCTCAGTACCCAAGCATGATGAAACACGCAGCGTCCAGGAAATGCTGGCTTTCCCATATTCACGTGAGACATTGAGAAGACAGCCAGGGAAATGCTGCTCTATTCACTAATTCTTGGTTTCATTATGTATCAGTGGCCATTTTAATATCAAACAAGCAGAAAAATTGCAAAGCAAAAGCTTCTTTTTACTATACCAACAGCCTTGATTGTAATTTGAAGCACAGTGTACTATGCAAAGGTTTTTTGACCTAACAGTTACCATTGCTGGCTTGCAATTTAAAACATGCTGTTGCAGAGCCTGGCTCTGTGGGTAACGCTAAGCTTATCAGAGCAATAAAATACTACAGGATGAGATTACGACTGTTTTCAAATTACTGTGACTTTTATCACCCGTAACCTATAAACTTTATTCTGCTAAAACTCCAGTACACATTTAAAAGCTGAAGTAGATGACAATAAAGGCTCAGCTGATGCCACTTTTGCAGCTGACTTATTACCTTGCTATCTGTCCTGCTTAAATCAAATGTGGGTCTTCATACTTCCCATCGTATGATCCACATCCCCTGATGTGCAGTGTGCACGGCTTCTCTCCCAGCATCCCACTAATGGTCACGACTGCTTCGTACTCGATGGCCTTCCTAAAGTGCAGAGGGAAAAGATGACATTTCAGTTATAGCTGGACCTATCTCCATGGTTTAGGATGGTATTAGTTACTTTGTGGAAGAAAAAGGAGAGACCTGGCTTTGGTTTCATACATATGAGGGTTTAAAACAACGCTACAGTCTGTGCCTCAGCTAAAGACAGGGCATTATTAATTTCATTGTTGAAAGAAGACCTCGAGTGCCTTCCTATCTGTGAAAGTTAATTTGAGTTTAAATAAATAAAACCAAGCTCTCCTAAGGGATTAGCATCGCTTGGGAACAAACGCCTGCCTGCACCGCGCTGCTGTGACAGCTCCTCCCCTCTGACAGGTTTGAAACAAGTTTGTCAATGCCAGTAAGTCAAGGGATAATTGACCGAGTCCACGTTGTAAATGAACATCAAAAGGCTTACAGCAAGTGGCATTTTAGCACTTGGGCTAAGTGGAAGCCGTACAGCGTAATTTGCCTAAGGCTGGTGCTACCCAATGCCCTTGGGCTCCTCCAGCTGAAGCACCTCTCTCAGAGATTGCCCTTGTAAAGGCCTGCAAGAGACTTGTCTAACAGGCAGCTCGTACTTCTCCTAGTACAAAATTCTGCAGGAAGATGCCTGATTTAGGGAGGTGAGTCACTAAAATCACCTCATATATCATCATTTCCTACTGCCATGCTGGTGCTGAGCTCGGCAGTGCTGGGAATTCCCTGGCAGGCTGATTATTGTGGTACCTGTTGTCAGACAAAAGGAAGCGCTTCAGGCAGAGTCAAAAGGCTCTGCTGAAAGATTTAAGGAGTTGAGAGTCTGGCCCAAGTTGGTCTCTGGTCCAAGGCACTGCTCAGAGCGAGGCCTAACAGGCCCCATCCTGCTGAGACTGCCGGAGCTCCAGGCATGGAGAGCTCACGGCCTGGCCCAGGGGACCTGAAGTTCCAGCAATAGCTGTCACTTGTAGATTGCTTCTTGAAACTTCCCTCTCGGCAGTGTTCAGAGTTCACTTAAATCCCCGGGATAGGCTCATCCTAAACTTTCTGCCAAGTTGTTAAGATTTCCAAGTAATGAGTGAAGCTTAAAAAAAAAAACAAACCTACTTGTCTTCTCTGGGAGGTGTGAAGGAATATCATGGGGCCTTTCCTCTGGCCATCTCAGCAAAAAAACATCATTTTTAACAAAAGCTGCTTTCCTTCAGGATTTGCATCTCATTAATTACAGCAAAGAAATGAAAGGTTTTGGGTCAGTGCCTCTGCTACTCAGAAGTAATCCTCAGCCTTGACAAAAGGTTATGGTAAGCTGGCCATAAACGTAATTAGAACAATATCAGCTGTTTATAGGACAAAGACAATTATTTGCATCTGATCTCTTGTGCTCTTTGCTGTTGTCTGCCTGCAGCTCACGCTATCTTTGTCATACAGAAAACCTTTGGACTAGAGACAACAAAAAAGCATCGATTTTTTTTTCCACCAAACATCAACACAACTCAGTCTAAACATTGAACCAAGCTAAGGAGGAGTAAAACAAATTGTATCAGTACACTGGAATAACATTCTGCACTATTGGCTTCATCAGGAGATATTCTGAGGTAAAGGAATTCAAAAAGTTAACTTTTGGAGCACAAACTATAATGAAGTATCCCTGAGACTGACTGCAAAAGACACTGCTCTTTCAGGCACGACAGATTCTTACTGGAATTTTGAAATACTCCATACACATTTCTCTCTTTGTCCTAATAAAATACTAGATACATAAAGGAGCTAACTGTTGAATCGGCTTCTGCACTGACTTGACAGAGCCTGAGATTTACTCTGTTGAGGACCCTAGAGAAAGCGATTTTATCCAGTCGTACGCAGGCAGTGTGCCATGCCAACTGTTTTAACGGTGTGATTTGAAGTAGGTAAACCAAAGGCTGAAACTCAGGGTGAAAATTCTAAAAGAAAATCTGTATGTGGGAGCAGTGGAGGGAAAGAGATTGGAAGCACGAGACTGACAGGTGTCAAAGGCCTGATAACACAAGAACAGTGCAGAACTCTGCTTTCAGTGACTACTCACAATATGAGTCTGGGCTCAACAGGGAGTAACAGCAAGATTTCAGTTGTGTTAACCATACCTGGCAGTAAAGGTGATCTGCAAAACATCTTTGGTAGGTTGGTCCCCTTTGCGTGCCTCCAAAATGCCATTAGGAGGGGAGACGGAAAATACTTCCAGGTCGTTATTATGCTTTTCTTGTTCATCTGCAGCAAAGAGGGCAAATATCAAACAAAGCAATATGAGACCTTCTGTATCGGTTTGTACAGCATATAGCTCTCAAAACAATGCACCTCCTTTCGTGCCAACTAATAAATCATATTTTGCACTGTCACAAGCTTTCTGTGCATGTGGCCAGTTTCTATTTTCATCCTTTAATCACGGGGAGCGATCAATGTCCTTGTGTCAGAATAATGAGACCCTTATCTTCTTTCCTTTGAAGTCCATCTGTTGTTGATCTCATTAGGCACAAGCTCAAACAGCCCTCGTGAGGAGGTGCTGCTGCTGCTTGTTGCCTCCTGGGATTGTAGTATAAATGACCAAAGCATGTCCACCAACAGTGAGGGTTGTGGTTTCATCCTTTGGTTAAATCTGGAGTAAAGGCTGAAACCAGCAGAGATACACTGATGTAAATGAAAACAAAAACCAACAGCCATCACCACCGCACATATGTGGGAACAGAAGCAGACCTGGTATGTTTGGACTAAACATCATCATATGAGTGAATGCACGCAGTCTTAACAAAACCAAAACATCCAAAAAAAATGAACAGTGAAACCACAGAGCAAGGAAACCAAGTTGCAAAACCCAAATACCCAGCAAAGCAGTCCAGTAGCTTCTGCAGCCACTCCTGTTAGACAAGAAGACATGTTCAGTCTTGGTCTGTGCAACAAAGCAGGTCTTGAAATCAACCGTGTCGCAAGACAGCTCCAGAACCGGGACAGTAAGGTGTGCAGTCACTGGGACCAGCTACAAAAGAGAGGAAAGAAAAAACAAGAAAACACTTTTTTATTTTTTGTATTGTTTTGTATCTGCTGCAGCTGGATCATTCTTACCTCAGGCACTGAATCAAGAGTACTTGTTTTGTGTTCTTTCTGTAACACTCAGTTCCCCATTCTACAGCTTTGAATGAATGAAGTTGTTGCTTGTTTCACTGCTTTGAGACAGGTTTTCATCTTTGTGGTCTTAATGAAGTAACACAGTGAACATTCTGGTTTGTTATTTGGATTTATTAGGATTTTCTGTGGAGATGCAGACATTACAACATCTTGTTGTCCCCGAGGACTTTGTATGGCCCACTGTGAGTCATTCAATTGGTGCAGATTGCCCAAGATTATTAAGTTGACTGCATCTTAGATATCATGCTTGGATCTTACAGATCAGCCCTCACAAATACCTGGTGTGAAGACAATGCAGTGTACTGGAACTGCTGAAGATTTGGGTGGGGGTTATAGCTTTCCATCTGGAAGAGATCAGTCTTTAAATGTGTGTGGGCTACGACCACACCGCATGAGCTGGGCAGGCTTAGGAGATTTTCAAGAAGCAATTGGGTACTGCAGGAGGCAGTGCTTGGTGACTCAGTTGCTGGCATGTTCATTGAGACTGTCCTGCTTCCTGCAGTGTCTCAGGACACAGAGTCATACTGTGACTGGGCATGCTGCCCTTTGATTGAGACATATCACCCAGGCCTTCCTGCTGTGCAAACAGTGCTCTTGCAGGAAAACGGGGGTACAATCACTAGGCTGCTGACCCAAAACTTCTTTGCCAACCGGAGAGTCACCTGCAGGCTCAACAGACTGCAATCTCCTTTTGCTAATCTCTGGCCATTCGCTTTGACTGTATGCTACAGGTTTACTCCAGAGGTGGCTGTATTTCA